CAAGGGCAGAGTAGAATCGTTCGATACAAGTTTTGCAGTCTTCAGGGAAAGAATATTCCAAGCAGTTTTAGTCACTGCTGCTAAATCAGCGGATACGTCAGTAGAACTCCGTTGCTCCGTTTGTCCCAGCTCAGAACTCAATTACAGTGCTTTGCAAGTCTTGTTAATCAACAAAGAAAGTGTTTTGGCGGACCGAAACTGACAGCTCTTCGAAGTAACCAATTAAGCTTGACGGCTTTTGCTAGAGAACCGACGAGAATATCTATAAGGTTGCTGTTAGTAGCACTCATGAACGAACTTCGGAATTTGTTAGATTTAACCCGAGACAACAAGATTTGAACAGTTCATCAACTACCGTATTTCCTTGAACTTTTTAAATGCATCGAGAGCAGTATAAAAACCGAATAGACCCATTTGGTGCCCATCTGGTAAACAAATCGCGTCTCTTGGCATATCCTCAAGCTAGAGCTCTTTTGCTGGCTAATTTCAAATCATCCGCACGTCTGATTTATGTCCCAAAGACTAGCCAAATAAGAAAAAGAGACATGTATTCGGTGCTTCGGATTAGATGACCATGCATTCTTTGACTCCATCGGCCATTTCAGCCAAAGATATTGCAAGATGAGAGTTGCGCTAAATAAAAACGATGGTTTTCTAATCACTGAATCACGTCCAAAAATGCCCCAAGGCTTCCACAAGGGCCAAGAAACATGGGTCGGTAGTAAACCTATCGAAACTCAGAGTTATAACTCAGAGTTAACTCTGAGTTAACTTTGAGCTAACGCGCAACTTTTTGACCCCTTTAACAGATGTTTGAACTAAATCCGGAAAGCGATGATATGGCAGGATTCTCCTTAACACGTAGTTTATTCCTAGTAGCGCAACATTGTCCAAATCGTCCTGCACAAGAAACAGCACCACCAAACGCGCAACTAGTGTCTGCGATGACTCTGAGTTTGATGCGCGTTCCAGTCTATCGTGGAACTCAGAGATAACTCTGAGTTTGGTCAGAGAAAGAGAAATAGTGCGCAAAAGAAGAGGGGCAGCTAAAAAGTCCTCCGGGGTACATTTTGCTCGTAGTTAAAGCAGCATGATGGGGCGGGGGGGGGGGGTATCGTGGTGCGCAGTGATTTACAAAATTTTGAAATTTTGTAAAAACTTGGCTCAGGGGGTTATTCGGTGCGCTGGTCACGCATATGGTACCCATTTTTCACTATGGGGTCATGTAGAGGTGTTACGGTAGGTTTACGGTAGATAAGAGAAAATCACGAAACTGATCGAAACTTGGTACACTGGGGTTATTCGGGGCGCCGATAGCGAATATGACATGCAGATTATACTGTGGTGTCACCTGACGAGGTTTTGGTAGGTTTACGGTAGATGAGAGAAAATCACGAAACTGATCGAAACTTGGTACACTGGGGTTATTCGGGGCGCCGATAGCGAATATGACATGTAGATTATACTGCAGCGTCATCTGAACGGGGTTACGGTAGGTTTACGGTAGATGAATCAAAACGGCGGAATTAGCCGAAATTTGGTATCCTGGAGTTATTCGGGATGCAGATTACGGACAATCTATCTGCTACATACACTGGTGACGGGAGACGGCCCTTCTGAACCCACCGTCCCCTACAGTAATCTAGAACTAGGACGCGCGCGCATGCGCTGCGATGACTGCGGACGAGTGCTCCGCGAAGGGCTCGTATTTTCGAAAATCACCAACTCCTTTCGTGCGCTGTTGCATTATGCAATGCAAACCAACCACGCTGATTTCAACCAAACACAGCTACCATCCTCTGAATGTTTGGTATTCTGAGCCCTACTTCCAAGCAGGTATGTTTATGATTTATGGGACATTTCCGAAGTCTTTTCATTTCCATGATTCATAAATAACTTCTCATCTCCTTTGAATTCTTTCGAACTTTTTTTTTGCTTTTTTCCGCTTATATCCCTTGTGTGTGCGATCCTTATAACCTCGTGCATCGTCACATCATATTGCTATGTGAGCTGCTTGATGTTATTGAGGAAAGCCCACGTAGTCAAAGTTTGTGTAACAACTCTTTATAAAGGCCAATTATAACTTGAATTTGTGATCTACGCTAATTCGTTATCAAATGCGTATTTCCTTCTGACATTTCAGTGCATCTCTGTATTCCAAGAAAATTATCATCTCCTTAAAATTCTCATTCCTAGTAAAATTTACGAACGCGCATTTGAAATTTTTACGCTTTAAAAAGCAAGATGCGTGCAGCAAAGAAAAGGTCGCTACCAAAATCAATTCATGTAGATCACGCTACCATATGAAGGTGATGCATTTTTATTTGATTGCGTTTTTGATAAGGATGGTGTAAGAAAAACTTCATAAAAAAACTAAAAACTCATCATAAAAAACGTATGCTTCCCTACTGGCATGCATGTAGTGCACATTTCATTGAATGTGACTAGATGATGCTGCAAGGAGGCAAAAGTAGGAGAGCAGAGCAGGCAATTGAACTTTAAAAAACAGCAAAATAAGTCGAAAAAGACTTGAAAATGTCTCACAGGTTAAAAACATACCACCTTAGAAAGTAGCCGGCGATTTAAGTAGTGTAGAGTAGAGCGAATAACTTAAGTTATTGAATTCTAGGGAATTTGGGGGAATTAGGAATTTTCTAGAGAATCACTTCCAGAATCTCATTATGGAGTAGGTTACCAGCGATGTGAAACTCGTCCGCCTCCGCAGCGCGTCTGCCCAGATCAGCTGCTCGCTCCCGCGAGCTAGCCAATCATGGAGTGACCTCTAATTAGCGCTGACCTCTTATAGCCGTCGCGATTGGGGCAGGTTCAGAAGGGCCTACACCCACTGGTGACATATGGAACGGTTACGGTAGGTATACGGTAAGTAAGACGAAATCATGGAAGGGCAAACTTTGCCCGGAGGATTTATTCTGTGCGCAAATCCTAATCGTCAATTCTTATCATTGCGTATGCCATCCGCTTTCTCTATTGTTTGAAGCTTTCAGCTGCACAAAAGACCAATCCTCGTGATGAACCATCACTGCCCGATAGAAATGGAAATGTGTGAGGCTTTGGTATAACTTGTTTTGACCTGCTAAGTGTTAATGGAATGAGTGAGTACATTATGGCAAAGCAATTTTAGGGTTCATGGGTGTGTCATGGTCTAGCGGTTTAGTGATGGGATCTTTACGCTGGACCATACAGGTTCGAGTCCCTACTTTAACGTCTCTTTTGCAGCAAAGTGCTTAACAGCTCCTCAAAGCAAAACTCCGAGCTTGAGAGATGGAATTCGGGATTATGAAAACGGAACTCAGAGCTTCAATAAGCGTAACTCGGAGTTTCAAAAACGGAACTCACAGTTATCTCTGAGTTAACGCGGAGCTTCAAACTCGGAGTTTCGACCAGATTACTACCGACCATGAATTTTGTCAGAATCCACAGGCATGCACTGGAGAATGAAGATTTGCGCCATTTTTCTCTGAAGTGCGAATGTACTTTTTTCTTGACAAGCAGAGACAAGCAGCCAGAGTCACATGATACTTCACTGAAGTAAAGTCCAGGAGATATGCAAAATGCGTCCTCGACATTCTCAACTCTTCATAAGTCTCAAATACTTTATTTTCCACAACATTATTATAGATAGTCTATTGAGATCTTATCATCAGACTCTCGCCACAATCAAACTCCGCGCACAAATCTCATGGATTTCTTATTGGTGTCAATGGTGTGACACTTCGAATGGACTGGTAGTTTCTTTCAAACAAAGTATCTAAATCTCTAATTTGATGGATACTGCATTTTTTCTAATATAACCAGCCAGATGTACGAATTGAATTGTCCCCTTTTCATCGAGTAAGAACGAGCTATGTATATGTTCCTGTCGCATCACTGGAATAGCAATAGTTTCAGAATCTATTAACGCATCTTCCCTTTGTGCCAAGTTCCGTAATATCCGAAAAGCTGCTGACCAAACGTTTATTAGATCATGTCAAACCACTACACTTTACCAAGATAAAGATCAATCTTAACTCCAGTCCACGCCCTAATAGTCCACGAACTCTAGTCCACTAGGCAACAGTTACTGCTTATTATTTCAAAATAATATCTGAAAACTAATAACTTGAATGTTCCTATAGCATAATGGAATGGATTATAATGGCAGTTTTATGGCACAAACAAAATTGGAGATTATCTGAAAACTGTTGTTTTTTTTCGGTTAGCTCTTGCTCTGACTCAATCAACGTCTAAATGCTCTACATTGTATCTAGAATAATACGGTAGTCAGGCTCGGCACGAGCTGGCATTAGGGAAATTTCAAAACGAGTCTCTTTTGATCTTGAAAATTTCGTAGTAAGTCCCTCAGAAGTGTTCTGAAGGCTCGTCATTATTTTTAGATTATGTAAAAGTATGTTATAGGTTTCATGCATGCTGATTTTATGGAACAATTTCTCACAAGTTTCTGAGCTTTTAAAGTGGTTGAATACCATCTTCAGAAGCAGTAAAAGCCGATTTTTCGACTGCTGAGCAGACCGAGTAATTCTAAGATTGCTATAATACGCTGAGAAAACATTATGATGTATCTTCTCTGTATGTAAACTTTTGCAGTGTGGATACATTTTATGCAAGAAAGTATGAAAACTTATGTAAGCAAAGTGTCGGTGCCAGCTGAGCTGGCACCCAGCTGGCACGCGCCAGCTAATTCAGAAAAAAATCCAGCACAGCTTTCATTCACATAAGCTTTCATAAATTTTTGGGCCATAGTTCGCTTCCCCCCCCCCCCTTCAACGCGCATGCACACACCAAACTTGGTGTCAACTATCGCGTTTTGGCTGAAAACAACGCCTTTGTTAGTTTGTTCGACAGCATGCCAGTGGCATGCCATTCTTGCGTCTCTTCTCCGTCCCGGGCCCCGGAACAACGATATTATCTTTGCTTTCGTTCCTAAAACAACGATAACCAGCTTGACTAGGTGCCAGCTGCGCCGAGCCCTGACGAGAGTGATGGAGGCAGAAAACAAGAAGGCGAGGTGACCGATTGAAGGTTGACCTATACATCTCATTCTTTCTCGTAGTTTGACTTAAGCAATGTGTGATGTGCATCAACAGTCTAAAGTTTACCATTAGCGTCTACAACATTCTGACCATACATTTAGTGGTGCAGTTTGGCAATGGTCAGTGTAAGGAACGTCCATAGCCAAACCGAGAGTGCTAAATATACGATTTTCGATTCTTAAGAGATCATATTCAGTATACAGGGTGTCCCAAAAAATGTGAACACTGTTTGATTTAAATAACTCTCTTGTCATGAAGTCTTTCGAGAAGCTTGAGGCACAGTTATGTAGAGCGAGGTTCAACTTAGACTTACAGTGTAGAGCGAATCACCAATCGCTCTTCATTACTGTAGGATTGCGTTGGGAACTTTGCGAAGGATGTTCGGAAATCAAAAGCGATTTTTGTCTCAAAAGGAAAACCAAACAAGCCAAGAACTCCCGTACTGGACTAGTCGAAGGTGCGATTATGACGTATGCACTCCATTGTAATGCTTATTTTATAAGTGATTTCAAGATTAGGTTAAAATCTGTTCTTCCAATGTTCATCAGAAGTGCGATTACACCATAAAAAAAGCTCGAAGACCTGGTAGAAAGTTGTGTAGTGAAATTGGCACACCCAAAAACCTCGCTACCCAGAATTCCAGATTTTCTTGGAATTTTTTTCATCAAAAGCCTCTTCTCGAGGTGGCGTGTATGCTGAAAGTTCATACCGTAATCCTACAGTAATGAAGAGTGACTGATGATTCGCTCCATATTGTAACTCTAAGTTGAACATCGCTCTACGGAATGGTTCCTAAAGCTTCTCGAAAGACTTCATGATAAGAGGGTTATGATCAAACAGTGTTCACATTTTTGGGACACCCTGTATATTAGACCGGTCCGAAAGTTCTGTCACTCCGTTTTCGTTTGTAATCTGCTCTATCTCAACGAACTTGTTTGATTGTAAATTTACTAGGAAAAATAAGTCTTTTGCTTTCGAACATTTTCTTGCCGAGCTTTTGTTTCACACTGCCTGCAGAGTGAAAATGGAAAAGGAAGACCATGTCAGCTTCAATCAGTTTGATTTAGGTCATCAAAAAACTGGAAAGTTGCATAAAAATCCGAAATCGTCATTATGTAAGTATTATGACCTTCTGAGCAACTGTGAAAAGTCTGCGCTGTCTCGACGTTTCTTTGAGAAGTTATATTCGAAAAAAGTAACAAATTAATAATTTTTGGCGTTACCTGTAATAAACTCCAAATTCATAACTTTTCACAGAATTCAAAACAGCACAATAGTCGAAAGCGAAAGAATTACTCTTTCTAATGAATTTACAAGCAAACAACTTCGCTGAGATAGCAGAGTTACAGATGAGAACAGAACTTTCGGACCGACCTAATATTATGGGCGCTCAGCTGGTTAGGAAATACCTGAGCATTTGTGAGCTCTCAGTTTATAAACGGTTATAGTTTCAACATTATACCGACCTGATCTGTTCAATCAACCAAATTCGATGCCTCGCTATTCTGATTTTTGATCTCCCTTATGAACTGACGGTAGGTCAAATCTGCCAATATCAATGCACGCGCTCATTGACTTTTCATCAGTACACACCGGATTCTAGTATTTGTTCCGGCAATTCGTTTATAACGTTTTCACACCTATGTTCATTCATATCATATTGGTAGCACTTCACTTCAAATCATCGAGTGGTTTTATTCAGAAAAAATCAGACGGACCTATTGAGTAATATCCCTCCAGATTACATACAAACTCCATCGATGTGAGTTCTACTTTCGCTGTTTTTTATATTGTTGTATCTTTAAGAATTACAAAAAAGAACAAAAAAATCTTACTATAGGTCCACACTCAAAGAAAGTGTGAACTAAAAAAGCAAAATAAGTGAAAATGAGGTAAAGACAACAGGACTTGCAAATCGGTAACAATTTCTAGCAAGTAGTCAAAAGTCCTTTATGGCTCTCTGAATGATCCTATATTGTGCCACTCTTCCACCTAGTAGTCTGAGAAAAATCATTCTTCTTTTGTTCAAATTATAGTCTGCTTACAAGGGCAGTGTTCGTTCATATTAAAGAAGCAATACCATTACTATATTTCAAATTACCAACAAAGATTGGCTTCTCTAAAACCTTCCTCCCATAAATCCTAGTTGCTAATACTTCCAGAAATCGCTCTTAAATAACTGAAAATGTGTGAAAGTTTTTTTCTTTACGAAAATTGCTTTCTTATCGGATTGTTATGTTTATTTTGCTACACTTTGTTCGTCTTCCTCCGGAAAACTCATAGATCTTTCTGGGAAAGGGAAAACCTATTTGCTGGCATCATTGTCGCCGTCTCAGGGCTCGGCACGAGGTGGCTTACAAGCAAGCTGGATATCGTTTTTGGGACGAAAAGCAAAGGGGGTTTCGTTTTTGTGACTGAAGACACACGCAAAATTGGCGATTTGGCGACGTTTTTTTTTAGTCGACGTTTCGTTTTTTGGAGGATTTTTAGGGAATATTTGGGGGGGTCAAAGGGGACTTCGTAAAAATACCCAAAAGTCAAGGGGGACTTCGTTTTTTGCATTTTCATCTAGCCACCTCGTGCCGAGCCCTGCGCCGTCTACGGACATGTGCTACATGAAGTTATTTTAGCCACTTTCCTAACATCTTCTCTCCTTTTCTCTTGAATCCACTTCTTATCTTTGATTTGGGAAATCATTTTTACTTCTTTTCTATTTTTTTGAATTCTTATGGACTCCCGGGATCAGTGTTGATAGGATAGCAATTCGAAAGTTTGATGGCCAAAAATAGTCCGCAGAAATTCAAAATTTGATTTCTTTATGGGTGACATGTATATATCAAATATTTATACCTCCACGATTGGAAATGAGGAGACATTTGAGAAAGTTATGAAAGTTTTCCCACTAAAGGAACAAATCTTACTTAATCACCCTGAAACTTATCGCTATATTGAGCTAGATGCAGCGTTCGTGTGTTATCAATCAAAAATTAGAAACTGATTCCCAACTTCTCTTGAAGGGCGACTCACGATTATTTGTCAACCTACTGATTATATGAAGAATTGTGAATGGACCAGCGCGACTAAACATTTCCAACTCGTTTTTTGCCCTATGATGTTACCGGAACCTACTGAAAACAACTATCACTTATCAACACTTACACTTTACAACGAGAGCAATCATTTATCGTCACCTCGCGGACCGGATTCGAAATGCTTTACGACTAGTCATTTTCCAGGATATGCAATTTTCATCTTTTAACTGATTCCTTGATAGAACGTAAAGTCCCTTGAAAGAAAGGATGGGGAGGGTGGGGGAATTTGATCCGTTTTTGAGCTGTAGGCTACACAAAAATTTGGACATTTCTACCACGTCTTGCTCGTAATCGAATTTAGCTGAAGTTACGAACATGCAAACCAAAGAGCTGATAACTGCATTTTCGTCTTAGCTTGCATTTCTTTTGCCATGTACCCTGAAGTGCTCCTATTTATAGATCGAAATCCATAATTTTTGATGAACATTCTGATTAACTACATGCAAGAATTTTTTTACTATGTGTTAAAAAGAACAATGAGCACCCACCCTCATATCCTTCGAATAGGATGTCTTCGAAAACTGATAAAGAAGTGCGGACCATTTACAGAGCTTATCAGGAGCATAAAGGGCCGGGCATATTTCATGCGATTTCAGTCGTGACGCGATTTGGCAATTCGCCAGAAGTCTTCAGATTCAACGCTAGCAAACTGCACATGCATAGTGCGTATAACTTACGTGGATTGATGATATGCCCTATCTTCTGTACATTTAAAATGTGCTTACAATGAGTTATGGACAGTTGGAATATTGCCAAAGCGCGTCGCGACTGAAATCACGTGAAGATGCCCGGCCCGCGCTCGAAAAGATGCCTGCTTTTCTCTCACGTGCTAAAACATAATTGAGTTGAAAACACAAGTTCCAACTTGTCAGGCACAAGTGCGCATAGTAGCATTCGGGGTCCGCTAATCATGAAATGGTGTCATTACTGCTGCTCAATCAGCTCATAAATTTTCAATTTTTGGTCAAGAAACAGGGTCCATCCCCAGGTAAGTGGACAAAATGACTTCCTGCGGCTACTAATACGCAGTTAACTTCTGCTTCGAAGCATGTATTTCTAAAGCACTCTGCGGGGTTGCAAGAGTCGGTGAGTTTGCGGTCTTTGCACACGCAGAATGCCACAAGGCCTCAATCTTCAAATCGTCTTAGGTATTTGGAAGCTAACATTTGGTAGCAGAAACGCGTTTGAAAGGAAAAAGGTATCGTCGATTCATGATACGCAAAGACTGGGCGCCGTTGCATCCGACGAAGATAGTTTGTGCGTAGGAGAGACAGCAGACGGTAAGAGGAACGAAAGAGCGCTCGATCACGGAGACTCCGATATGTCTGCAGTCTTTGCGTGCTATGAATCGCCTATAAGTGAGATAGCTCAGCGGCTTGCAATGACCGCCATTCATCGTCGTGATTCATGCGACAAGACAAGTGTTACGAGTTCATTGCATGCCGATCTTCTTGTGTTTCGGTTGTGGTAGTTAGTCACGATAAGTCGTGTTGGGAAACTATCACAACCGAAATGCAAGAAGATCGGCATGCAATGATATTGTTGTAGTTGTCTGGTCGCGATGAATCGTGACGATGAAGTTGCGTGAACTCTGTCCGAGGCCATATACACGGTTCATGACACGCAAGGACTGGGCGTCATTGCGTCCGGCCTAGATAATTCGCGTACGGGACAGACAGCAGATGGTAAGAGAAGCGCGAGAGCGCTCAATCAGAGAGACGCCGATACGTCCGCAGTCTTTATGTGCTGTGAATCGCCTATACACTATTGGCCTGCTCAAGCTGTTTGACTACGATAATGGTTTTTCTCGCTTAGCCTTACCGGATGAGAAATGTTTGCTAGCGTTCCTTCTGAAATAAATGAATGCATAAACATTCGTTGCGTTACGACCTCGAAAAATAAGTTGCAACAAAGAATATATAGGTTTCTGTCTTTGATTCTGGCTTAAACCTTTTCCACTAATAGGGACATCTGTACGACTACGCACTTGTCTCTGATAGAAAAGCCATTGACACTTTTCAATATCTTTCATTCGAGCAAAGTTTCTTTGAATGAGAAATCAGGTAGATTTCATTCATGCAACGAATTGGCATATCACGACATAGATGTCATATGTCTTTTGAAGTAGACATCTACCTTTGCCAGGTAGAGGAGGTTTGTGTGTTGTACTCCACATTCCAGATGACTACCTCAGAGTGCAGCAACAGAAGATTGGTTGTGCATTCTCCGGACGGTGGCTGGGGCTGGCTGGTGGTCACTGGTGCGTTCTTCATACATGTGGTGACCGATGGTTTCGTCTACTCGTTAGGAATTCTTGCAGATTTCTTGATGGAGGTTTGTCATTGCTTTATTTCAGCTTTCATAGGTTCCGCGTACCTGCACTACATTGTCACTTTTAACCAAGCTGACACTACCAACAGCAGCCATGAGGATTCTCTGGTCTAACTTTTACCTGTTCCGAAAGCATTCAGTCGACAGATTTTTAACTTTGGGTTCAATATTTCTGTGTCTTTTTAACGTGCCAAGTTTGAAACGGCGATCCTCTGCTCCAAGATCATCCCCAGTCTAATCCGGATGATATGGGTGCTGTCAAAAAAAAATAGGTAGAAAAGATACTATGAAACTATGAAGCAGCGTGGACGAAGTCCTGACTGTGTCCGACAGCTAATCTCTCTTCAGAAACGACTATTCGTGTAGGGACCAAGCCGCAACGAAAAGCAGCTTTCAATTTCTTTAAAAGTTGCGATTTTTTATCAATGCATGCAGCAGTTCAAGGTGGTAGCAGAATTACATTCAACGTATGTGCAAGAACTACCCCTGGTAATGGAGCAATGAATTATACAGTCAATGGCATCCATTGACGAGGAATATTTTTGATTTGCTTCAGATTATAACACTCAAAAAGGGAGGACAGCAATCTATTGTTGTATACTTGCACTTCATGGTGATTCTCTTGAAAGTCAGATTTTAAGGAAAACATGCACATATCTTTTGCAACACTCATGTCCTTCCAATTTTAGCTGACGCCAAAGTTAGCTCCCACGATCTTGGGTATTACCAGCTCCTGATTGATTACGTGACATCATTGACACAACTTTGGGAACGTCTGATCTGAAAAAGCACGGGTATCGCAGAAGATTAGAGCAATTGGACAGATTCTGATGAACTCTTTCCGAGTATATTCCCTTTGTGAAGATCTGACCTCAGAGGCACCTCCACCCTAAGTTGAGGGTCTTGACCTTTTGGCAGCATATGATATCAGGCCCCCTATCAAGCCAATGCCCTAGTCGCAGCGCAAAATGTCGCTTCGGAAGCGAGAAAATCGCTCCGGAATACGAGGACCCTCAGACGGCACCACCTTCCCCATCCATGCCCGCATCCCTGCGCGCCCAGCCAATCACGGTTCCGGAAAGCCAGCCTGCTGGATCTCCGGAACGGGGATTGTTGGGGTGCTGTGGATTCTCGACTTCATATTCGGAACCAGGGACATGAGAAAGCCCCGGAGCGATCAAAACATGGAAGTCGTATCTGGGTGGACGGTGCCTTTAAGAGAATTATACCGACATGATGCTTTCGAGGCGACATCGCCGTTATTTCGCAGCTTTTAATCGCGGCCTGATACGGTACTGTCTGTACCTGCCTGCTTTGCTCGGTGTTTCCGCATGCATTCTTATTGGATAAACGAGTGAGAAAATCCAATAACGACCGTCTGGCAAAGCTGCATATCGTCGTTGTACTCTAAGACCTCGGACAGAGTTCACGCGATTTCGTCACGATTCAGTCGCTACAAGACAATTAATACGAGTTCATTGCATGCCGATCTTCTTGTATTTCGGTTGTGATAGTTAGTCACGATTAGTCGTGTTGGAAAACTATCACAACCGAAATGCAAGAAGATCGGCATGCAATGAACTCGTAACATTTGTCTGTAACGATTGAATCGCGACGATCAAATCGCGTGAACTCTGCCCGAGGCCTAACCGTTGCTTTTTCATTGGATGAGATCGACCTAAAAACCGCTAAGTGCATGTACCTAATCAAACCGTCGTCAGTGAAGCAATATGAGCTATTGACTTCCAGGAGTTCAACTCCGACAATACAATGGCGTCCTACATCATCTGCCTTTTGACAGGGATTACCTTAGGATCTGGACCATTGGCATCTGCAATATGCAATAAGTTTGGATGTCGAGTAACAGCCATTACCGGTGCCTGCATCTCTATAATGGGGTAGAGCTTTATCTTAGGGTTTATGGATTCTAACCTGAAAAATTTAATGTTTTTTATTTCAGCTGTGCAATATCTTCGTTTGCGACATCTATGTGGCAGCTGGTCATTTCAGTAGGAGTAATCATGGGAATTGGTTTTGGTCTTTTGTATTGTCCAACCATTGTTGCAGTGACTATGTATTTTGAGAGGTGGGATTTGTCCATCACGAATGACTCAAATCAGGAGAAGAACAAGGAATATGCTGACTACAAATACTATACCGCTTGTATTTTTTGATAAGGGACGCACAGTCGCCCAATTCAGATAGATAACATCACCGCAGTGTGGCACCATCTCCCTTCAGAGTGGGCTCCTTAATCCAAGGGCACCATTCGACTTCCTCCGGCGCGGCGCATCTGCTGACATATAGAAGTGCCCGCTTGGACACAGTAGGAGGCCAGATTCTACGAACCGTTTTAGATTTTTGCTCACGGTAATTCGCTCAGTGAGCGCAATGATTGAGCACTCTGAGTAACCTACCGTAAGCAAAAATCTGAAACGATTCGTAGAATTTGGCCTCCTGCTGTGCCCAAGCGGGCATCTACAGGGTGTTCCAAAAAGATGTGCACACTGTTTGATTGTTAATAACTCTCCTACTTTCATGTTTTCTGCCGAGCTTGAGGTACCATTCTTCAGAGCGAGGTTCAAATTAGTTTTATAGTATGGAGCGACTTCTCAGCAGCTCTTCATTACTGTAGGATTACGGTAGGAATTTCGAGGAGGAACTTGAGCCATTGAAAGCAGTATTTTGCCTTGGAAAGAAAGCCAAACAAGCCAGAAACTCTTGAACTGGGTTAATCGAAATCGCTGATTCTAAATATGAAGTTGCACTTCAGTACAATGTCTCTTTTATAAGTTGGGGGTAACAATTAATTTTCCAATGTCCGTCAAAAATGTGAACACGCCATCGAGAAAGCTCAAAAAACTGATGGAAAGTTGTGTAGTGAAATCAGCACGTTTGAAAACCTTTAATGCAAATTTTTAGATTTTTTTGAAATTATTTCATCAAAAGGCCTAACCCACAGTGACGATGTGTGCTGAATGTTCATACCGTAATCATACAGTAATGAAGAGCGATTGATGATTCGCTCCATACTATTAATCTAAGTTTATCCTCGCTCTATAGAATGGTGCTACATTATCGGCAAAAGACACGAAATTAAGAGAGTTATCGACGATTAAACAGTGTGCACATGTTTTTGGGACACTCTGTATATATCAGAAGATGCATCGCATCGAACGGAGTCGAACGGTGCCCTTGTATTGAAAATTCCTCCACTCCGAAGCGAGATATGGCCACGCTACATTAATGTTATCTGAATCCGGCGACTGTGCTTTTTTTTTTCAAATACGAGCCGTGTTATATAATATTACTCACTAGATTATTGCACCCATCTTGAAGACATTTGCATTACGGAAAATCCATGCATTTATATATGTCTTTCCAGGCGGCGCTCTTTAGCTACAGGAATTGCTGTTTCTGGCGCTGGTATAGGAACCATACTGTTTTCACCTATAAATGATTTCATAATTACCACTTTTGGCTGGAAAGCTGTTTTCCATGTGTTTGTAGGTAAGACATAGTGAATCTGTGAGAAGAAACTTTGAGAGTTAACCAAGAGACATGACGCTAATTAAGAAGAATTCTGAATCCTTTTGATCGCTTACCTTCAAAATCATACAGCTTACAGATGCGGAATTTCTAGAACATAAAACAATAATTTCGGAATTTCTAGAACATAAAACAATAAAGAGCAGATCTCACGAAATTCAAGGGGCTGCTTCTATAGCTAGTAATTCTTCCGTCTTCCTATCTCACACGTATCCCAAATTCCAAAATGAGTTTGTTCCAGTTTAGATTTGCAATGTAAATATTTACTGGCTATTCGATGTTGATGGGAAATTATGGTATTAGTTTTCGGCAAGATCCTCAAGGCTTACTCAAAAATTGTCCAATCACATTGCCCTCACTAAGTAGTCAAAAATTTGGATGTCGTTACCGAAACTACCTCTCTTGGTTTAGCAAGAGTTCCTGAAATGAGAAGCTGCGTTAAAGTTTGTACATTTTGAAAAATGTGAAGTAGCAGAACTTTTAGTTGTAAAACTCTTTACTATGGGATAATCTAGCTTGCCGCGGAGAGCCTAAAGTATGTAGGCGGATTAGTGGTTCACTTTACAATTTCTCTGCTGATTAAAGACAAAGTCCTTCATTTAGGGTGGTCTGAATCAGATGTAATTTTCTCGTTTTTGAGTCCACCTTTAGCGGGACCTCGGCAACTATTTGATTGGGGGTTGCGCATCATACCATTTGAAATCACATCACCCTCACTTTGCTCGGACTGTGCCTTTGAAGCTAGCCACTTTATGTACTTTATACTAGAGGCAAATAAGCAAGGTCCAATACCGCCCGTAGTTTGTGATTCTAATCGCCGCACTTCATGGGATTACGCCAAATATTGCCTTGCATCGTCCTATCTTGCTTCGGAGGGACGAATTCTGAATATGAAAGCATCTTTCAACTCAGCTCGATGAGTTGCATATTTTTATACATAGAAGTGCTGTTTGAACATGATAGTCGGTCAAATTTTACGGATTCTTCCAGACTCATGCATGCGGTAGGTTGATCGTTGTGAGATGATTGAACACTCTAAGTAGTCTACCGTGAGCAATAATCTGAGAGGATCCCTAATTTGACCGACTATTGTCCTCAAGCAGGTACTTCTTTAGATCAAAAGATGCATCACGTAAAGCTGAGTTGAATGGTGCTTTTGAAATCAGAGTTCGTCCACTCTGAAGCGATGCAACTCGAAGTTCGGCGAACTCCGCGGAGTGCAGTGATTTTTTCAAATTACGAGCGGTCCTGTAGTTGACAAATGATGACATTTGTGCAATGATGCCAAGACCCCCAATGTAAACCGTACCCTAATTATACGATTACAAGACGCACCTGTTTTTTCTCTTTGAGTGGCTTAGACGCACCAAACAATTTTGCGACCAAGGAACCCTCTATCGTGTCGCTCCTTATTTAAAAGAAATGTGTGAGAGACCACTTTACGAGGCACAGTTGTGCGGCTAAGATGTTTGCTTGAGGAAATGAAAAGGGTGCGTCTTAAACTTGTGAAATTAGGGTACTTCTTAACCAAACAATGACGACAATCAAAATCCTCTCTTTTCAACATCTCACTCTTCCAACTTTTGACCATTTTCTGTTCCTGCTTAATTTTGTTCTTTTTCAAGTACTACTTGGAGTTGCAATTGTATGTGGTTGGACATTCCGCCCGTTATCCTTCAAAGAAGTGAACGAGGAAGAAGCTGATGTTGAACATAAAGCTGAAAGATCCAAGGAAGGAGAAGCTGAGGTTAGGTTCAAAAATTAATTTTTTTACACAAAATTTTATTTATCTTATCTCAGTTGATGAGTTTCGCTCAGAGCCTTTTTTACAGAGTTCATCCTTCCCCAATGATGGTGAGAGCTCTTCTCGAAAATTCAATGAATGTGATGGATGCCTAATCATCAACATTAATGCTGAAGAAGGTGCATGTTACAAGTGTTCTCGAGTCAATAATTCAGGAGAAAAACCTTTTATTATTTCAATCGCGTTCAAATTTGAACATTCTGGTCTTATTGATGCTTTAAAGAGGAAGTGTTTCAAGGGTCGGCCTTCGCCAAAATCTGCAGTATCTCAACATGACTATCAAGATTTCGTCGAACTAAAAATGTTTCAGATTCAGTCATGCAATGTAAACCATGTGCAAGTAGCGGAATGGATCCGGCTGCAGAAGATAATGCTAGCATTATCGTGCCACGGATATCAGGAAATACCCAGAGGTGTTTACTTATTCATTTCTTAGCTATGAAAACGTGCTCGAATTAGCATCGCCCTAAAACTGCAATAAAGAGACATCAAAGAAATCTTGGCCAGCCTCTCGTCAAAAAAGTGGTTTGGGATGAAATGAGTGCTCGATACATCATTGATCTCGAGTGCTATAACTTTGCTGAGAGTCCCATACTTGAATGGCGCCTTCACAGAAATACGGTTTCACGAGCAGATACTGCAAGCTTTCTCCTGTGCCAACGTTTGCAGTGCCGGATCATCTCTGAAATGTTGCATGAATTTTCGTTGTAAAGGCCAACTAGATCTCAACAAGGGCCAGGCGCGGGTGTGACACGTTACACCTGGCGGGGGGGGGGGGGGGGTAGTAGAGGGGTCAGGGAGAGGGGGGGAGGTCTACCGAGGTGATGGTGATGTTAGCGACATGATGTCAGTCAGAAATGTCTGATAGGCCCATCGTGCAAGATACTAGCACTAGTGTTTTGGCCTACCGTCGTACACGTACAGTAAGCATAATAAAAGAATTCTAAAATCTTAAGAGCATAATTTTCTTAATTAGCATGTCGAATAACCCCTGTGGGCCAAGTTCAGCGAATTTTGAAATTCTCAAATATTGGGACACTCAGTGAGGTGGACATTTTCAAACATGTAAATGTTTCAAATGTGAGTAAACTACCTCTTTCTGCACTCAATACAAGGTACTACTACTTCTTTGATTATTTTAGTAATCCCACTTCAATTTACCTCCATACTCTGAGATTGTGAGTAAGCCAAAATCTCGTTTGTCCCATTTTTCGCCCCATTATCCCAAACCGTAGAAGACCAATCAGGCTCAAACCACTTCTGTGAAAGTTACCAGGATTAGGCTATCGAATATACTTGTTCTTGCTGCCTTTTCTCGCGATTCACATAGTAGCGCAGACTTAGCATATTACCGTAATTCATTATTTTCGCTGCGTTTTCCATTTGCATAGTTAAGGAAAAACTATATCTTTTCCTAAGGCCCCGGACAGACTTCACGCGATTTGATCGTCGCGACTCAATCGCTGCATTTCCATTCATTTTCATTTCGCATTCAAAAATTTCATGCTGAAAAAGTATCACAATCGAAATGCAAGTTGATCGGCATGGAATGATGTTGTAACAGTTGCCTCGTCGCGATTCAGTCGCGACGATCAAATCGCGTGAAGTCTGTCCGGGCCTAAGGGAAACAATTCTGAGTGAATTTCTGCTATGTGGAAAAGAGGGTTTAGCAGTAGTAACCATAAAAAAAGACAGAGATTTGAATGCTTTGAAGGTAAGTTAATGGGGTGTGGCAACCCCATTAACCCTATTAACTTACCACCAAGAAGAATTTTAGCGAACATAACAGATATGATTTGATAGTCTGAGTCTTGTAGTTTCCATAAGAGTAATTTGGGCCTGATTCATCTTCGTCGCTCTGAGTAAAAGCTGATGAAACGCAGCCACTGAAAGCGAGAAATGGGACAAACGAGATTTTGGCCTGCTTCTAATTCCGTAGCTTGATGGTTATTTGAGGCAGGATTCATGGTATGCGTAAATAGTGAGTAGTGCTTTGTATTGAGTAAAATAGGTTAGCTAATTCACTTTTGAAATACAGTTAATCATGTTTGCAAATGACTACTTCACTTGGGTGGTCCACTATTGGGAACCCTTAGAATTTGCTGAAACTTGGTGGAGGTTTTTTGACATGATAATTACGAATATGTGCCGAATTATGCACTGTAGAGCTTTTCATGTGCTTGTCACGCCTAGGTGGGCAAACGATAATGCTGTGGGGGGAGGGTATTGAGACAAAAGATGGGGGGGGGGGGGGGAGGGATCGTATTCGGCGCTTGTGTGCCACACCTCTTGCTCGCCTGTGGTCCCAAAGCAATGAATTTTTGTTGCAACCTAGCAAACAAAGATATCATCCGTCGTCAGGAACATACTGCATTAGGAAAGAAGCGCAGAAAATAAAACTAAAGGCTGCTGCATGACGAAGGCGCAATGGCGATATTAGTTTAGCGGGCGCGAACGCGACGCGCGCGTATTCTCACCGTTGTAGATCCCGCACCTCATGCGCTCTGCGGCTAATAAAGCTGCGTTCGCGCCCGAAGATATTCCGCCTTCGTCATGCAGTAGCCTATACTATAAGTGTTGGCTTTTTGCAAGATTGAAAACAGTGGAAATGTTCTGCAAGGATCTGCCCATCCTCAATAAAATTCCGGCTGAGAAATGTATTTCTTTGTAGTTTCTGACTCATTCTTCAGTGATTGCATAAAATGACAGAACTATCAAGAGGGATACATCCTCTTATTTTTCAAAAGCGACAAAGTGAGGGCTCGTCTTTGTTGGAGTATCTATGCACATTCGGATAGGCCCCTCTCTGATTGAGGGGCTTCGTAGTCGCATTCCTTCGAAAAAAAAACGTTCTTCCCGCGAGTTTTGGTGATGACCATATATACTTACAATAAAGGATGCCAAATCGATTCGGCCTCTCCGTAGTGCATTTCTTCTGATGCAGCTCCATGGCTGATTCTAAATCTGTATTCGATAGCTACGAAGCAGTTTTAGAAAGGAAGATATAAGCTTTTTCCTTGGGGATTTTTGCATGTTGTGACCCAATCAAAACAGCCGATACCCAATTATTTTGGTCTCATTCTACCATTCTAGTCTGTATCGTACAATTTCCTTTACATTTTCCTTTCCCGCAAACCTCCCTTCAAAGCATAGATCGGGCATTTCCATCAATTTTAGTGTTTTATTTATACTAAATCACGCAAATTCCACAGAAAAAGAACTCTTAACTTTTTCCGGAGAAAAGCTCAGCAGTTTCGAAGTATTAGAATCAGCGCAACGAGATGCATCGAATGGTTTGTGCTACATTGGAAAAGGCGGATTGACATAGCATCTCTCTTACTGTTAGAACGAGCATGCAAAGACGAACTACTCAGAGTGAACGATGATAGCTTGGAGACTGCTGTAAAAGCCGCCAATGCTCAAACAGGCGCTGAGGTTCCCGAAACTTCTGCTGTTAGAAGTGAAACTCCCCTGACGTGAGTTTCAGAGCATTAACAGAAATTTCAAACTCGGTTTTGCGTTCCTTCAGGAACAAGAGCAACATGCTTTCATTGTCCTTAATGACTGATCCGATATTTTTGGTTTTTGCCATTTCCAATCTCTTGACATCTGTTGGTTTCAATTCTCCATTGTACTTCCTGCCTATGCATGCCACTAGAGGAGTAGGGCTTGACTCGACACGATCTTCACAAGTCATATCGGTTTACGGTATCCTATCTCCTTTTTAGTTGACACTTAACAATTTATCCATTAATTTCATCATTTGCAGGGTTATGTAATACACTTGGAAGATTCTTTTTTGGAATTGTCTCTGACCATCAATTTCCTCTGCCGTATGGAATCGGCAATGATACGGCAAGAAATCGGCTATGGATGTACAACATAACGATAGCGGTGAGCTTTAAATATTGAGAATTAGTTTGCACTTCAAAGCAGGGAAGTGGGGTGTAACGTGCTTGTGTCCGCGGTGCACGGAGAGGGGGGGGGGGAAGCATGGCACAAAAGTCATGGAATCAAATAACTAGCTTCGTTTATCTTAACACATTTCAAACCGACGTGAAACTCTTCTATATATCTTATATATAAAGCTGAATGTCTGTTTGTCTGTCTGTCTGTATGTATGTACGTATGTTCCGAATAGAAAATTCCATTTCTGAACCGATCCGGACCAAACTTGGCACACATACACTTTGGGCCCCGGCGGATGTCACAGGCTACTTTTCGTCATCGATCGATATCGATTTTATCGATTTTTTGCAAAATTTGAGCTGCGGGGCTGGGAGTTGGCACAGGGGGGGGGGTAATCGAACACGCTGATTACAAATATGTTATTGACAGGGCCGGGCGGAGCCGGGTTTGCCAACTAGTATAGTATATAATGGGTGGCGAGATTGGATCGCGAAATTTTTGAAACTTGCCTACATGGGTTATAAAAATGTGCAAATGACTTGTTTATTTTCGTGAATAATTAAAATATAAAATTTGTTAAAAATGCAAATTAGCCGTGTAAAAAAATTCTTTGGGGGCGTGGCTGAGCTTTTTACAACTCCTCCAGTCAAATGACAACAAATATGAAGTGCATGTATTGATCTGTATTAAAATACATGTGAAAACTTCATCAAAAAAGTGACGCAATATTCCTTGGACTAGTGGTTGTCCTAGACATCAGCGTGGAGAAACGTGGAGCATGATCTTTGAAATTTTTTCCTTTGATTTTTTACGCATCAGAAATCATCTTGCAGCGAAGAAATGATTTGGAGCTTCACTACCCTCCCTATGCCTTAATTAAATCTGGTCTAAGCTTGCTTGAACATGAATTTAATCCACTCTTTCTATGCAAGCGAGGGGGGGGGATCGAACCCTGTATTCATCAGCATAAAGCGAGTTTATGTTTAATTACCTGGTCATGCGTTTTAAACACCATAGGTAGCAGCCACCGACCATCTATTTCTAGCTTACTTACGTGTAAGGCTTGTCATACAAAAGTAGGCTGTTTTATGGCCCTCGGGGATTTCTTACGAATTGTACTCACATGCAATAAGACGCGCGTCATCCGTGGTCATTATCATATAACAATGTTAGAAATAATTCTGCACTGTTCTTTGGCACACTACGCATTCAAATCATTGAAAGACCATATGAGAAAATTGAAGGTTTGAAGGTCAAGAAGAGTTATTTTGGGATTTCCGCATCTGCTAAGAATAGATTGACAGAATTCACAAAATTGTCGAGATTAGTACCTATTTGTGGAATACATTTTCTCAAAAGTGTACCCAAAAAAGTAATTGACGAGCTTTTACAACACTAGTGTTCTTGTGTGCCAGCTTTTGAACATCAGATTCCTTATGGTTCGGTCCCTCTCAATGAAGAATAGGCTATTCAATATTTTCCTTCTTTCAGAGTGCCTTCGAGTAAAGTTTTTTGTATTAATATCTCCATTCAGCTGTGCGGTTACTTCACGGCAGTCTGTTTCCTCTGCACCGGCTTTATCTCTCTTTCCATTTACGCTGGTTTATTCGGGTTCTTGATTGCATGCTACATTTGTCTCACTAGCGTAGTTCTCGTTGACCTTTTTGGATTAGGCAAGCTTACTGACGCTTTCGGTCTTCTTCTACTTTGGCAGGTGCGTTCTAGCGCAGAGTTTGCAGCACCTAGATGATTGTAGAAAAATCTTCAGGGAGCTGGAACCGTCTTTGGTCCTCCTATTGCTGGGTATCTTGCCGATATGACCGGAAGCTACACTTTATCCTTCTTGTTCTGTGGGATAAACTTGTTGGTAGGTTCCCACAGCATAATTTTTATAGAATTTCTGAAATCACGGCTCGAATCTTTTCTTACATCTGCGGCATTCGATGTATTTTGCAATGCCGATAGTTACGACAGAATGTGATATTCTTCACTTGAACATAAAATGTAAAAATGAGATTTTTGTTTGAAAGCTTCAAAATGCGTGGTCCAAGAAAAATCACCCACACATGGAAGTTCCAGTCTTCCTAACAAAACTTTTTTTTGTGGATTTCCGTCGCTAAGCTTTCATGAACTTCCAATCCTGTTTTAACGAGAAGTTTTTTCTTATGACTGTAACAAATATGCTGCTGCAGTTCACAGGCCTAACCCCTTTTTTTACAGATAGGAGGATTGATGCTCTTTGCTATACCTTGTCTTCAAAGAAAAGAGGAATTGAGAAATGTTGAAGCACTATGCAAATGAAGCAACAATCGAAAAGCCTTTGGTGATGCTCCAAAATTCAATGTTCATCTGCTAAGTTTCGAAATGTTTCTATTACCTACACACACTTCTTTCACTATCACAACATTTAGAGATTCTGCTTGAGTCCAAAGGATCTAATTTTCATTGTTAGAAATTAAGTTTTTCAATAATTCTTACAATTACCGCTTTTTCTGCATCATTCGCTCGAACAGCTGCGCAAATTATGAGTTATGACTTCGAAACTTCCGATTTTGCATGAATGTATCGAACAAATTGAAATCTCATGCCTTAGAGATTTATCGTTTTGTTTGGATGCAGATTGTTGAATGATTCAGCCAAGAATGGGGAGTTTAAGAATGTACGGGATGGTTGGTCCTCAAGAACTATTTTGTTTGAAGAGCTTTCAGCGGTTCTTATTTCGTAAACTTGGCCTCAACTCGCTTTTGCAGCATAGAACGAATATTGCGCTTCATTACTGTAGGATCACAGTTATAGTCTTGCAGATGATTCAGTCATTGAGCTCTATTTCACCTCAGAAAGTGAAAAAGCAACCTGAAAAATCTTATACAGGGTGTGCCAAAAAAAATGTGAACACTGTTTGATCGTTAATAACTCCGTTGCTTTCAGGTCTTTCGCCGAGCATTAGGCACCATTTTCTAGAGCGAAGTTCATCTTAGATTTGTAGTGTGGAGGAATCATCGATCGCTCTTCGTTACTGTAGGATTACGGTATGAACTTTCAGTACGTGGATCCATTGTGAAATATGCCATTTGACAAAATTCCTTCAAAAAATCTGAAAAATCGTGTACTAGGGTTTTCGCGCAGGCTGATTCTACTGCACAACTTTTTACGAGTGTTTTTAGCTTTTTTGATGGTATAATCGCCTTTCTGACAAATGCTGGAAATTCAGTTATCAGGCCTACCTGGGATAACCTTGGAGAGAAGCATCACAGTGCGATAGAAACTTCATATTCGAAATCAGCGGCTGCCATTAACAAAGTATAAGAGTTTTTGGCTTGTTTGATTTTGTTCCGAGGCAGAATATGGCCTCCAATGGCCTAAAATCCTTGTCAAAGTTCCTACCGTAATCCTACAGTAATGAAGAGCAATCGATGATTCGCTCCGTACTGTGTATCTAAGTTGAACCTCGCTCTACAAAATGGTGCCTCAAGCTTGGCGAAAGACTTGAAAGCAAGGATTAACGATCAAACAGTGTTCACATTTTTTTGGGACACCTTGTATTAAATTAACCAGAGTCGCTGACTCGGAGTATAAATTCTGCACTCAGAGTGCGCTTGTTTATCCTAGATTTATGCCAAGTTTGATAACGGCTCTGACAGTGTTTCTCGAAAATCTGATGACGCCATTAGAAAATTACAAACTCGTAAAAATTGAGTAATGAGATCCACGTGTGTGAAGATCCTGGTACAGAAATTGTCAGAGAGTTTTGAAAACTTTTTGAAACGGATAAGTAGAAAGACAGCAGTAGATTACAAAAACTTCTGGCACGCGGTCATTATAAGCTGTATGTTGGATGTTTCTATTGTAATTCTCCAATACTGAGGACGATCGGTGATTTCCATGATCTAGGTTGTAGTAAGATCTACAACCTATATCATCTACAGTACGATGTTTGAAAATATATTTTTTGGTATCCCTCAGAAGAGAATTTGCTTGTCTTTGCAATGAAACTAGCAGTTGTAAAGGAAAACGTTTGCAAACTCAAACATTCGTACAGCTGTTTGCTCATTAGTGCGGAAGCGAATATTAGAAGAAATCAAGCTTTGACTGAAACTAGCCGGCAGATTTTGGGGAGAAGACAGGTGTGACACCAACTTTAGAATAAAGCGGCTGTTTTTACTGATTGCTTTGAAAAGCCGTTGCCACTTTGTCCCCTAGATGCTTCTTTTCTTTCACGTCAAATTCGCTTCTTTCCGTGCACTTTGTCCACTTGTATCAGTTTTTCTTTTGATGAAGTAAGCCTCACGAGAACATATTTCAATTTGTTGTCTCTCCCTCTATCTACATTCGCTAATTCTGCTTTCTCTTCAATTTCGCGTGAACCTCTATTGCGGTCTTGATCGCTCATATAAGTACAGAGTCTATTCATTTTCAGTGAGTAAAGTGACGTATGAACGTATTTTTATTGATTTGAATTTCAGTAATGATTCTGTCTTCTAGCCTATAGCCTTAGGCTAGAAATTTTGATAGTTCAGTTTTTTAGTGAAGCAAAACTATTGTGTTTAGCTTTACTACTTGCGTTATCTTTCCTACACCGTTGAAAATAAATTCTCAAAATATGCGCTTGAAAAAATTTTCTTTATAACAAACTATGATGGTTTACAAGTTCTTCTCTGGTTGACGACTAAATCTAAGCTTTTAGATTGAATGCACAAAGAACAAGCAGAGAAGTAGGAAATAAAAGAATCATGGCGTGAATTTTGTAATTTCGAAAATAATCCAGGCGTGGGATAAGGACATAGCAAGCGGCCCGCTGTTCTGTTTAAAAAACAGCGAAGTAGTAGTACGAACGAACGTAAAAGTACGAACGTAGAGCGATACTTATAAAACAAAGAAATGGTAATGGTAGCAATGCATTACAGTAGTTGGGAACGAAGACGAAACGAGTTATCAATATAGTATCGAGCACATTAAACAGGCATACGGTAGTTTCAAAGATTCTCTCGTTCGCTTTTCATGCAGAGGAGGACGGTTCTGAAGCTCTTCATTGATTGCGAGACTTTTCCTTCTGTGAGTAAATGCTAGATGCTACGAAGCTCGCAAAAGTTCGACGGAAAGACGATCTCGTCCTAGAGCCGCGGAAGTCTTTAGGGTCTGAATCGCCGCACTTCAGCAAGTAGAATCCGCGTGATGCTTTAGTAAAAAGACGGGCATTGAGGCGAGTGTTGATGAACGGAAGAGGTTGAGTGAAAGTTCATAATATTATAGATTTCATCTCAAAAAGAAAGTACTCGGGGTCTCATCCTCGTTCAATAGCTCTTCAACGGTACGTAAATAGAGGTCATTTGATAATCTCAAGACTTCGTCTTTCTTCGGCCTCCAGTATCTTGGCTTGCCTCTACTTCTAGAGACATGCAAAGCTATTCTGCAATGACGATGATTATCTGTCCACGAGATGGGTTCGGTGGAATCCTGCTTCAAAGTCTGTTTCTTTCAAGCAAAACTTTGGTGATCTTCAAGATGCGTTGCGAATTCTTTTCAAAAGTCATTGAGGGTCACTCTTCGCAAGCTCGTAGTTCCCCAAAAGGGGGTCCTAGTCGTCTTAGCCAGACATCCGTCCGAAGCCGGACACGGCTCCATATTGCCAATTCGACACCCAGGACCATCCCACGCCACGATGAGGCGGTGGACCGTAGCGGGACATCCAAAGACATCTTCCCATATCGTGTATTCTCGCAGAAGCAATAAGCAATCAAGTTTATTTATTGTCATGTGATCACACAGCATAAGTATAATTACGGTTTACAGAATACATATACAAGAACATGGTCACTGGCCCTTTATGGGCAGTACACAACCTGTGCGCATGCCAACGACTCCCTTGCATAGATGAAACTTTGAAAAGTAGTTGAGAATGTTGCTTTGTACATTTTGGGAAGTAAGACTATTTCAGCGTAGTAGAATAATACTTCCTTTAGAACAGACGCCGCATGTCACAGGGCAACGTTTCCTGGTGTCAGCTCGGATATTTCGATTTTTATGGTTACACATCCGCAGCGTAAATTGCTTTCTGCTTGTGCAGATATTTCTTCTATTCCTGGAATGATCGACGCACACTAAAACATGCGTTAAAAGTGAGACAAAACATAGAAACGTCATTATAACTGACACTTGCAGTATCCACATGTGACGGGGCAGTACTTCTTCAGCATATTTTTGTAGCTGAAATAAGCACATTTTCACAATTGTTGACAACAGTAGAAAGTGAAAATTGAGTATACTTTGTGTTGGATAAGCTCACCCTTCGATAAAACACATTCTTCTGTATTTGGAGCAATTGATGCGACTTTTTCCTATCCTCTTCGCATCAACGCAGGTCTGAGGATTAGTGGTTGTTGGCCTTGCTGATGTGGTCGTTGATGGGACTTCCTGGAAAGCTCATTACTCGTAATTGGATTTAGCTTAGTTTATCTCCACTGCGAATCAAAAATTTCTGAAAGCGGTTCTTATGTGATGCCGACTACTTATCTAATATTTCTTGGTTATGGTTGTATTTCATGTTCACAATGCAGGTTGAGGCCATGCAAACAACGCGTATTCAAGGAAAATGTCTTATATGTGAAAAGTACTGACGAAATTCTTTTTCAAAGTATAGCAGGCGACAGCTTGAAGTAGACCAGCAAGTTTTCCTAAGGGCAGCGTTTCCACTCCCCCAACAAAATACTGTCTCTCCCCCTATGCACAAAGCAATCCAGAGCTCAATCTGCGTACAAATTTCTAATTCTTGCTCAGAGACTGCATCAGAGAGCAGAATACTTTAGCTCAAAACTTCTGACGGCACTTTTGGTAAAAAGAGATTAAAAATTTTATGGATATCTCTCGATTGCTAAGGATCAATTTACATACCGTGCTGATACTACTAGGAACTGTGGTACTAGTTGATGCGGTGGAAGTAGCCTGGCTGTAGTTTGTCTCTGTACTTGGAAGTATAGTAGGAATAATTGAACTTGTGACTGTAGGCTTCGAAGTGATCGTAGAAGTAGATTCCGCGATTGGGGATACAGTCGTTATCGCTGTGCTCAAGAATGCTGTGCTCGCATCTGTGATGGGGTCGTCATTTTCCAAAAAGGTTCTCTTCGTTATCGCAGCCGACGTAACCTTTTCGGGCGTAGTTGTGCTCAATGTTCCTTTTGTGGAAGTGAACGCCTTACTTGCAGCACCTTCCGTTTCTGTTTCTCCCGTTGTAGAAGCTGTTGTCTGCATACTTGTAGAAAATTCAGAAACATCTCTCCTCATTGTGGCGATGGGATCTGCCTGCGTGTATCTCTCGGTTGACGGAAAGATAACTTGCGAAGTCGAACGTTTCAACTCAGAACGTTCTGTCGTAGCATCAAGAATCAAATCCTTCTCTGTGGTTTTGGACGATAGCATTGTAACTGTAGTCACCTCTTTTGACAAGGCTTGCTTTGTTCCTTGTGTAATTGTAGAGGTTGATGGCATTGTCGATACAGTCTCTGAGACATCTTTCCTCATTGTGGCAATGGGATCTGCCTGCGTGGATTCTTCGGTTGACGAAAAGACAACTTGCGATGTGGAACGTTCCGAGTGAAAACCTTCCGTCGTAGCATTGAGATTTTGATCCGTTTCTCTGGCTGTAGACGACAGCATTGTGGCTGTAGTCACTTCTTTTGCCAAGGCTTGCTTTGTTCCTTGTGTAATTGTAGACGTTGATGGCATTGTCGATACAGTCTCTGAGACATCCCTTCTCATTGTTATAACGGAGTTTGTTGTAGATTTCTCGCTTGGTTGTGTGAAATCGCCTTGAGAAGTGGATTCTGTAACCTCAGAAGCTTCGGTCGTAACTTCAAGTAGCTCATCCTTTCCAGTGGATGCAGACGGTAATACCATTGTTGCATTTACTCCTTCCATCATCGTTGAGCTTTGTTCAGCTGGTGTACTGGTAGATTCTGATGACGTGGCGAATGTAGATCCTGAGATGTATTCCCTCGGTGTGACTGTAGATTCCCGCTGAGTGATATCCATAGTTGCTGTAATGAGAACATCTGATGTAGAAGGTACTGAATCAGAAACTTCGGTCGTGGCACTAGGGAGTTCATCCTTTTCCGCAGGTGTGGACGGTCGCATCTTGGTTACAGTCACCTCATCAGCAGAGCCATGCTTCGTTGACGGCATAGTGGATGCAATATCTGAGATGTCTCTTCCCACGGTGTTTGCAGAACTGGCTGGAGTGGAATTCTCGTTTGGTGTTGTGATAAAGACTTGAGTTGAAGAGTCCTGAGATTCTGTCACTGTTATGAATGAAATCGGCGTGTTCGTGACTTCTTCGGTTTGTGGAGCTTCGGATTTCCTTTGTTCAGCTGAATCGTCGCTCTTGAATATATTTTCTAGCTCCTTAGCGTCGTCTTCTGAGGAAGAACCGAAAAGATCCAGATTTGACTGTTCCCTGAGGTCTCCACCCTAAAGTAAATGCATTTTCGCCTTAATTAAACATCAACAGTCATTAAGCACAGAATTGAGGAGGAATGCTTTACCGCTTTGGTGGTCGTAAGTGCGACACCGAATAAGATGATCTGCAGCAGAAGTGGGCGTGAGATCATTTTTAATTGAAGAAAACGCTACATCCTTTTATATACGCACGCATCCATCTGTTCAAATATTTATTTGAAATTTTATCAAGCTGAATAAATACAAGCACAGCTTGTCGCCAATATTAAATGGGCTTGTTTATATTGGTCAGTGAAACTAACACTTTGCTTTGAGCTATGGAAATTGAGATTATGAAGGAACTAGTTAATTTAATACTCCTACTTGTTGAGAATCTGAACATTAGGAAAGTATCAGGTTAGCCTGGGTGAACTTCTATGGGAAATACCTTTCTCATTTATGGAGCTTATCACAATTATTTCTAAGCAGAGAAAATTATAAAGTTCGTAACAAGCAGCTTAGCGACTACACAAGAGCTGTCGGAGATACATAGCAGGGGAAAAAACTTCGAATTTCATTTCTTTATGGTAAGACGCCGTAGTCGGAGAGTTTACAATGAGATCCGAGACATTCATATTTTCACTCCACTCTCTTAAGTTTGAGGTGAGCATTTCTATGCTGAAAAACCTCCTTGTAAAGACTTTTTGAAAAAAAAGCGAAAAAAAAATAGATTTTGCAGATTTCTAACGTGAATTCAAAAGTCATACCTCTTCAGAGACACTTTCGATTATTTGCCCTTTTAGAAAGAGTAGGATTGAATTTCTACCACAGTATTTCACATTGTACCCAGTATTTTCGAATTGTTATAGACCTCACATAAAAGGTCGTTGACTGACCTTGTCCTGAGTGGAGAAGTTTTTTTTGAAAAGTATCATAACGAAAAAGGTGATCTCCTTTCCCCTTGGAAAACTCAACGAAGAGCAAGTTCATCGATAACAAAAAAGTACAAAATTTTAATTCGAGGTTACGGGTCAACTTGAAGACACTCCAAATCAAATTTGAATACAGAATAAGCTGTGTTTCATAAAAACATCGTGCACAGTCGTGATTAAGAGCCTGGAAAGCTGAGAAAATAAATGTCAAAAAATTAAATTAATGATCTTGACGCCACCTGCAAAAGGCAACAATCAAAATACATTTTGTAAACTACAACAAAAATCACCTTAGCTTGGCAACGAGCAGCCAGATGGAGGCAGATTACCTTCACCAAATATCCTTTTACTCAACGCAAGCGCTTTGTTGAGGTCTTCGGTGTCTTATCTATCTACAAAAGCAAAAATCAAACATAATAATTCATTCGGAAACTAAATAATGTCAAAAGCAGCAATGATTCGCAGCTCAACTTCGCAGAATGTTGAAACTCAGCTTTTGTTGCAATCATTTTTATTACAATGACAAGTTAATTTTTTGGTAACAACGACTTAATGTACAATGAAGTCCTGTCCAAAATATGATACATGCTTTCCTCGATGCAAAAAAAAAGATAATATGGGATTCATTAAGAGCATAAGGAACATAAGACGAAAAGCAGTGAAGAAAAGGTACTTGTGGACGGCGCTGTTACTTTACTTTGCTTTTGAACGCTGCATTTCGATATGTAGGACAGATTACTTGCGCTGGAAATAATAAAAGAAGAAAATTTTACATGTTTTTACAATCCGTTTTTTCCTTCTCCTTTTACGACTTGTCGTAAGTGACGGCAGGGAACTGAACCAAAAAAGCAAGTATTTCTTCTAGTCCTAAGCTTATGACGATGTGGTTTCTTTTTCAGCAAATCGATGACTGCGGGATTTCATAACATGTTTCACGCCAACATAATCGTAAACGTGGCAGAATTTTTCTCTGTATCTTTGCCGGAATTAAAACCTTCATAGTTTATCTGAGTTAACATGCCTTTCCATAGTCTGACTTCCCTGATCACAGTGATTTTATTTCAGTTATTTTAAAGGCAGCGTCCAGGCAGATCTGGACCTAGGGGCTTTTACGTGGAAAGTACTTCTGGGGCCCTAACTAAGGCACTGCTCAAGCGGCAGCTCAGGTAGTGCTGTAATGGCTGAGATATCCCCCTCGAAACTGGACCCCGCGACCGTGTTTCGCATGGATTCATGGCGCAAAGCGTGGATCCTGCCGCGAAACTGCCATGAATCCATGCGAATACGTTCGCGGGGGCCAGTTTCGAGGGGAATATCTCAGCCATTAGAGCACTACCTGAGCTGCTGCTTGGGCAGTGCCTTAGTTAGGGCCCCAAAAGTATTTTCCACGTAAAAGCCCCATAGGTCCAGATCTGCCTGGACGCTGCCTTTAAGAGGATAAGACATGCACATAAATATGTAACCAATTGAAGAATTCAAACTTTCACCCTAAAAGCTCTTCGTACTCCATAACCTTTGTTTCCGGATAGCTTGCCATTCTTGCTGTAGATCTCACACCTGACTGACATGAGAAGACAACTTTCTTATGGCTATCCAGCTAGAAACGCGGATAGTGCCCGATAACCACATACGGCTTTCAAAAACTCCAACAGAGCCGAAAATCTTTAAAAGTAGTTTAGGATCATTGATTATATTATAGACATCCCACACAATCGTACCCTCTGGTTGAAAATCTACGAATACGTCATATCAACATTGACACTATTTAACTATTGTGGAAATTATACAAAATTCCGATAAATTCGAAGAGCTTGAAAGCTTATCGAAAATGTTCTCAGGATATGAGAATTTCTCCGAAATGATAGCTAACTCACGACAAAGCCATCGTGCTAAGTTCCTGACCGTACATGATAACGGCGACCTGTGACTCATTTTGTACCCTAAGTCTAATTGAAAGCTCTCTGAGGCCTAAGGCATACCTCACGCGATTCTTGTCGCGGCGCGATTTGGCAACGCTCCAATTGTTCATCACTCATCGTAAGGGGTTTCTGAATCTACGGAAGATAGTGCATTTTATCAAACTTCAAAAGTTATACATGCCATGCATTTGGGGTCTGCCAGTATTGAATTTGAAGAGATGTGGCAAATTGCCAGATCGCGCGGCAACTGAAATCGCCTGAGGTATGCCTTAGGCCTGAGGCAACTACTAGAGTTGTTAAGGCCCGTATGCACTAACATTTTTGCGGCGAGGGGAGCGGCGTCCCCCGTTATGAAGGGACCGCGTGCGGACGCCGCTGCGGCTCTTTCATCATTGGGGACGCCGCTCCCCTCGCCGCATGGATGTTAGTGCATGCGGCCCTAAGAGGAGAGTTATGGGAATTCCTTGAAGCAGCTTCAATGAGCAGCTACAATCAAATCATTCAGAACTAAAGTCCTGTGCTCAGATAGCGCCATGATTACTGCCATGGCTCTTTATAACTCAATACCTTCAGTCTCATAAACTTACGCTAGCCTTACTACGCTTTGTGCATTTGATAATTTTAGTCTAATAAACTTATGCTAGTCATTATTCCTCCTTCCAAGTGCTGGAAAGGATCGAAAGCTGAATTTTTGCCTCGAAAAATTCCCATGATTTGATATCAGCGCTCCATGCTTTATAAGACAGTGCACATTTCATGTTGGAACGCCACTTCGACCAAGTATCCTCCCATTATCAGATACGAAAATTAAACGTAGGCCAATTCAATCAATCCAGTCGAGCAAACTCGAGGACTCGAACTAAAATTTGAGATCTTAAAAACTCACATACCAAATATTTTTCAAAGTTTTTTATATTAGCGTAACATCCGAATGTCGAATGTTTGGAAAAAAGTTTCCCCAAATATACTCTAAGTAGCAACAAACCATTAGCATGTCTGTGCGGAAACAATTCTTATGAATCCTGTGATGCAAAATTATTAGAGAATCGAGTTTGTCTACGCTGGCTTTTTTCATGTCAAGGAGTTTTGAACTGAACATCCAGCCAAACCAAGAATACCGTAAAGAAACGTAAAACGCCTGTGATGTCAAGAGCGTACAGTCCGTGTCAATGATATGCTCCCTTTTCCGTAAGCGCAATGAGCTTCGCGCCACGTTCGCGCGCGATGGCTTGGCATTCGAACTGTCCCCATCGACTGGAGGTCCGCACGCAAGGCATTTGTTGCGCATGCGTAGTTCCCATGCAAACGGGAGTACGTACAGTCTGCCCCAATCCTAACCAGGCCAAAATTGGCTTGGCGGGAGTGCGCGTCGCGAGGGTTTCGCGCCACTTCTGCGTCTAGCTAGTCTGCTCTCTCCTCAATCTCTTCACTCTCTGCGACAGCGCGCGAATGCAGCGCAAACCCCTAGCGCTGCGAGCGCGCACATTCAGCCGACGGTTCGGCCTGATCCCGAATGGGCAGACTGTAATTGACATTGACTGTAAAACATAGCTATGGGTCACCGAGTTATCCGCACCCTGGTTCTGCCTAACCGCCGCATGGGGAAGGCACCCGTTACATGTGGGTTGTAATCATGCTGAAGATATTCTGTAAGTTTTGTTGACCTTGCCCTACACACTTCCAATAATCTCAAAATGGCTTTTTTGGGGAACGGTGATATCCAGCAAGGTTCTTCCTGCCCCCCCCCCCATGAGTATAGCCGTGATTGCAGAATAAACACAATTTGGGCGCTGTGCTATCGTAATTGAAAGACGTCGAAGCAATAGCATCACTTTCCGAGTTGATGGTTAACTTATTTTCAAATAGAGATGCGTACTTCACGCTTCACGAGAGCATATTTTTGTGTGCTATGTTAACTGCTAATATATATTTAGAGCTGGATGCGCTTGCGCTTTTACCGGCATCTGCTAGCTACCATCAGAGCAGTGCGCTATAAGAAGATCAACAGAGCTCGACTATTGTTTGGACTATGCATCGCTTGCTGTTTGTTGTTTTATATCCTGGTAAGTCTCTTACCCACTTTAGTACACTATTATTACGATATGGATTTTGGGTTACTAGATATGATTGTGCAGTTTGTATGTACACCGCTGGGTTAGTGGTCTGCATTGATGGTCTGCACAAGTCAAGCCTGTTTCTGCATTGCATTTCTTGATTTCCGTAGTTTAGTCTCTGGAGGAGATTACAGAAAACTGTGGAACCAGTGACCGTATTCATCATCGATACCTTGAGGTAAATTCTACCTCCAGGTAGTTTTATCACTCATTGTCAGAAAGTACCCGTATTCATAAATGTACCTTGAGGTAAATTCTCAGTGTAATTTTGCTGATATTGAGTGATAAAACTACCTGAAGGTAGAATTTACCTCAAGGTATCAATGATGAATACGGCCACAGAATGTGTTGTTGTGGAAGTTCACCGATTGTGACCTCATACATCGTATAACTTATCTGTTCGCTTGTCAAATCATCATTGAAAGTGCTCTTATTTCCACAATGTCAATAATCTCACTTTCTAAACTGTACATGCAACAGCTTTGTTTCATTAGCTTGACAGTATTTCGTCTCTCCCTTCCCACCCTCCTCTACGGCGTAATCAGTATTAATGCTTGAATTCTAAATGAACAGCCTAGTTCAATTTTGGGGGATGTGACTGACCCTTAAAGGCAGTGTCCGGGCAAAAACTCGATCTTGAGATTTTGTGCTTATACGGGCCTATTCGCCATGCTGAATCCAAAAATCCACATTGGAAAGCGCGAAAACGGCGAAAAAGGGCCCTAACACAGGAGGGGAATCAGCAGGTGGGCGGGGCTTTCCCCAGTGCGATTTCACGCTCCCGGCTCCCAGAGCGATTTTCTCGATTCCGCTAGCCGTCCTAACATCGCCACCGGTCAAGTGCGAATGATTGACTTGAAACCGGAAGCGAGAAGGTCGCTCCGGAAGCCGGGAACGTGAATTCGCAGTGGGGAGGGCCCCGCCCACCTGCTGTTTCCCTCCTGCGCTAGAGCCGTTTTTCGCCCTTTTTGCGCTCTAAATGTGCATTTTCGGATTCAGCGTAGCGAATAGGCCCAAGTAAGCACAAAATCTCAAAATCGAGTTTTTGCCCGGACACTGCCTTTAAAGTCGTTAAATGATGATAGGTGCAGCATACTCCACTCAGTTTTTCAGTTCTTTGTCATACTTGCTGATGGTACAATAATTGACTACCAGTACCTTGGGGCGGTGGATGAATCGGTTCTGAAGAACAGGTTGGTCTGGTCTTGTCTATCTATGTGATTCCAGCATAATAGCTGATTTAGAGTGGACTTCCATGAGGTGATGATTGATCGAGTGTGCTCGAAAACAACAGCTCGATGCTACAATATCTTCGATAGGAAACTCAGCAAAGAGTGAGCCGTTCTTTGTCTTGTTCAAGCGGCATATCAGAACTACCTATATGCATTTTATTAACAGTGGCTGTAGCATCGTGGTACTACCCCTCAACTTGTGTGCTTACTTTCGATAACTTTATCGTTAATTTGCTTCTTTGGCAGAATCAATATCGTTCTCTTCCTAGTTTTTTGGTCATAAAAGTCATAAGGAGATGATTTAGTCGGTTTCACCAAGTTTTGAAGGCGATTTGTTTTGATGCTATCTGGCCATTTGTTGTAGAGCTGCAAAAATATAGCAGCTACTTTGAGTAAAGAAGAGTTGGTTTGATACATTCGCATTATGACAAAGTAGACAAGCAAGGATGCAAAAATACTAGCGATTCAGAGGCGCTGTAGAGGTGGTCGAGCGTCAGCTGTTCGTGGAGGGGTTCGCAGAAGATTCTGATACTGCTGTGCGACTGATAGCTCCAAGAGGTAGGGTTGGCTTTCATCATCAAAGGCAGCGACCAGGCAAATCTAGGCCTATGGGGACCTCACTTGGAGGGTAATCTTGGAGCCCTAACTAAGACACTGCCCAAGCAGCAGCTGAAATGGTGAGCTCACAGTTAAGATACTCGCCTACAAACTGGACCCCGGGATCGTATTCGCATGGATTCGTGGAGCGACACATCAGTTTTGCGCGAGGACCCACGCGTGTCGCGCCATGAATCCATGCGATTACGATCTCGGGGTCCAGTTTCGAGGCGAATATCTCAACTGTGAGTTCCCCATTTCAGTTGCCGTTTAGGCGGTGTCTTACTTAGCCCCAAAATTAATTTTCACATTAGAACCCCGTATGTCCAGATTTGCCTGGACGCTGCCTTTAAGTTGCTTCTCTTCAGTGTGCAAGTTATGTATAGATTCAGTGTGCAAAATCTGAGTACCTGGGCTTTGGACTTGAGGTGGGGGTGCGTTGCGTGTGGTAATTCACCTATTTTTTATTCACCTTGGTTTCCCCTCAATTTCTTATTTTTCGAGCGGAGCCAGCTTCTTGAGCGCTGGCAATAGTTTGGAGTTGGATTTTTCGTCTATAATAAATCATGGGAATTGTCCCAGGCTCTGTTATCCAGGGCTTCTCACAGTTATTCCCACAGTGACCTCAGTTCTCTATCTTGACCACTACTAGCAGTTCTCTGTAGTGGGAAGTTTGCGTTGATTGATGAGTTGGCACTTGGGCTTTGGCCATACTTCGCCCGTGTTGCCGGTGTTGAAAGTGTTGCCGGTGTTGAAAGTGTTGCCAGTGTTGAAAGTGTTGAAAGTGTTGCCGGTGTTGAAAGTGTTGAACGGAGGTCATCAGTCTAGCAGTTTCATTCTTCCTCGAACGATCTCACCGGCTGGTGAATACGTTGGAGATGGAATTGGGGAATGAGAAATGAAACTGAAATGAGATGGGGAATGTTTTCGCATGCAAAAGATCCTCAAACAAACTTTTTGAAAAGTGGACGGCTTGTCTGGAATAGGAAAACGCTGCAAACCTCACTTAGGTCCTTTACTCACTAATCGCAAGCGCGGCAGGATTCGAACTAAAACACACATTACTACTCAGACTTCAGCTTTTTCAAATATTGGAGATTGCCTATTCCAGACAAGCCGTCCACTTTTCAAAAAGTTTGTTTGAGGGTATTTTGCATGCGAAAACATTCCCCATCTCATTTCAGTTTCATTTCTCATTCCCCAATTCCTTTTCAACGTATTCACCAGCCGTTGAGATCGTTCGAGAAAGAATGAAACTGCTAGACTGATGACCTCCGTTCAACACTTTCAACACCGGCAACACTTTCAACACCGGCAACACTTTCAACAATGGCAACACTTTCAACACCGGCAACACGGGCAAAGTATGCCCAAAGCCTAAAAGCAGTAGCACTAGTAACAACAGTAACATGAGTAACACGGTAATACCAGTAACACGGTAATACCAGTAACGCGAGTAACACTGGTAACACTAGTAACACGAGTAACACGGATAACACGGATAAAGTATGGCCAAAGCCTTACCTAGCTTCATGGTACTCTGAAGCCCAAAGCCTTACCTAGTTTCCTGTTACTCTGATGCTTTATCTGTTCATCCTGCTCTCTGTAACATATACCAGCCTTGATCATTCGCCCAATTCGCATCAGAATGCTTTCTTTTGTCAAACCATGAATTTGCAGGCGAACTCTTCGACGATTCCGATACAAGGATTTGGCAAATAGACCATTTCGACATTCGATCTCAATATGTGAGCGTTTAGAACATTTGAGTAACAAAGATAATCTGTTAAAGGGTAGGCTGGGAAGTTGGTTGTGCGTGTCATTTCTGACCGTTCTTGAACAAGGCGTCTTCTTGTGCCTATTCTTTTTCCCATGAGGGTTATCTAGTCGAGAAGACGTTCATTATGAGGCCGAAAGTTTTTGGATGATTTGTTGTCGTTATAAAGCGTCACACCATAAATTTTTTAAGTTCTTGTAGCCGGTTGAATTTGCAAAGGCCCTATAGTTGTTGCAGATGAGCGCAGGAAGACTTGACGATGTTCACGTCATCATCACATCTTTTGCAGAGTTTTTGATTGCCATCACCAAACCTGAGTTCGCCCACAACTAACAAGTGAAAAGCTTGAGTTTAAAGGCAGCGTCTAGGCAAGTTTGGACACATGGAGATCTCACGTCGATAGTAATTTTGGGGCCCTAACGAAGCCACTGCCCAACCGGCAGCTCATTTTGTGCTCTACCGGCTGAGATATTCGCATCGGAAAAGGACCCCGCGATCGTATTTCGCATGCATTCATGGCGAAAAGCGTGGGTCTTGGCGCGAAACTGCCATGAATTCATTCGAATACGATCGCGGGGTCCAGTTTCGAGGGGAATATCTCAGCCGTTAGAGCACTACCTACGCTACCGCTTGGGCAGTGCCTTAGTTAAGGCCAGGGCCCGGCGGGGGTGGCTCCTTCACAAGCTGGATATCGTTTTTGGCCCGAAAAAGCAAAGGGGAAGTTGTATTTTGGGGTCCGGGGCGGACACATATCATTCTTTATTCATCACCAGTGCGTCACCTCTGCTTCGCAGAGGCTCGCACTGGCCCTTACCTTTACGCTTCATTCATTCCCGCACAATAGTGACATTGAAACTCACCGCGCTATGCCGAGTATCACGAATAATTTGTAAACATCTATTCATTCTAAAAGCTTTTCCATATGAGATCGGTATTTTCGCGTGAATGAATCTTCTCCCAAAAGAACAAATGCTGATTTGAATGGTTTTTGGAGTTTTCATGGCTTGCTATTCACCATAAGATACAATATCACCGTGGGCTACATCTCTGTGCAAAAATCTCTTCAAACGATCGGGTAAAATCTTGGCAAAGTGAACACTTACGCAACCAATTCTTTTTGGCCCCATTCTCGCAAAGCAGTAAACTTTAGTTCAGTTTTCTAAGCTAAACTCCATCGTTTGCACATTAACTTGTCAAACATATCCGTGACCTTGCAAAAAGTTGTGCTACAGGCTCAATTTTGTGGCCAAAAGCCAAGTGGATCCGATTGACGCGCATTTTTTGAGGGATCCAAATAACGGATCCGCTCGTGCTTTTGTACAGTGGATTATCATGTAAATAGCATGCGCAGTGCAAAATTTGGGCTCAAGAAATTCGCTGTAACTCGCTCCATGATTTTCGTGACAGACAGAGATTCCGACACACACACACACACACACACACACAAACGTAAACAACCCTTAGCCCGTTATTATAAGTTATGATTCCTTGTTGATGCTACTGTCCTATGAACTTAGATTCCAGCAATGTGAGATTCTGTGCTCCGATCGCTAGCCTGCCCGCAGGCGGGAATTCAAATCGCAATTCTTGTAAGAGGAAAATAACAAGATAGGCTCGTTTTCAATGCACAAGTAACAATATGGTGTCAAGTGTACGAGTTAATTACTCTCGTCAGTTGATCCCTCTACCCTTGTTTCCTGCTTCTTAACAGAACAAATTCTGACTAGATGATTATATAAAATTGGGGGACATAATTGGGGAGGGGACCACCGAGCACCCGGGGAGTGCCAGCTCATCTGGAGATTCTGGGCACCCCCAGTTGGCGTGGAAACTGTCGGACCATCTAATTACTCTGTCGTCTCGATCTGAAATCTGCTGTATAGTTGGAGGACCATGAGCACAAAAAAAGTATGAAGAATTATGAGAAACTTATGTGAATTTAAAAAATGGCAAGTGTTTTTCGAAATTAGGTGGCTCCCGCGCCACCTGGGAGCCACCTGGGGTGGCTTCCTGCTTCCCTTCACATAATTTCCCGGATTTCTTTACATAAATGTGGACTAGGTCGAGAGTATTACTATATGTTCAAATCCGCTTCCAAAACCACCAAGGCACCGCTTCGATACAGCCCCAAATAGGGTTCACAGCGTTGCTGACTAATAAATGAGTAGTATCTTAGATATATAAACGTCAAAGTTTGTGCAAATCTTGACCCTATGTTTTTTTTATAGATTCCTTTGCGGATGAACCCATTGAGCTGAAACCTTGAAAACATATGTTTTCGGCCTCGGTGGATAGTTTTAAGCTACCCTTCGAAGCAATTCGTGGAATTCTTCTATCGATTTAATGATTTTTGGCACCTTGCAAGGAAAGTGAACACTTACCAGCCGCTAACAAACTGCTTGCACATTTTGGTGTGAATAATGCAGTGAAATTCATTTCCACTTTGAAATTAGAAGATGCAGTCACTCCAATAAGCTTTTCTGAGGTAAGCTCGTGGAGAAGGGTAAGGGGGAGGGCTGCAGTGCAGTATTGATACTGCAGAAAAAGGATGGAGAATATGCCCAAAAGGACGGGAGTAGAAGGACAAAGTGTGGTTATAGCCATCCCCTCAAACGATGACCCGGGCTGGACCAGGAAAGCCAGGTAGTACTACTATAATAAGCGCTGAGGCCGCCCATCTTATTATTTGTATATCTATTTGTATATCTGTTTGTCAGGGCTTACGGGGGTCAAAAATAGGGTCAAAGGGGAAGTCGTAAGAAATTTTGGCTTCAAAGGGGATATCGTTTTCAAAATTCTGAAATGCCACCTCCTGCCGGGCCCTGGTTAAGGCCCCAAAAGTACTTTCCACGTAAAATCTCCATAGGTCCAGATCTGCCTGGACGCTGCCTTTAATTCTTCGGAGCGCTTTTTCGGGCAGGAGTTACTTTTGTTGACTAATTTGCGCATTCGATCAAGATCGTTGGCACTAATGGGAGAGTTCGTTGCTGCCCAACTCTCATACAATGTTCTATTTTAGGTTGCTGGTATGCTAGTCGCGCCCTTCCTAGTGTCAGCCCTTTCTACTGATTCATCGGATGTGGGCAAGACAGTGCTAGAAATTGGATTGGGTGGCGGAAGTTTTGATATGTTTTTACATAAACTTAAACCAAAGGTGAGTCGACCAGATATCGCATTCTTGCTGTTTCTAGCTTTGTATATTTGGAGACCTATTTTTTTTTTCTTACAAGCTCGTGTCATAGTCGTGTCATCATTCTCCTTACTTTAGGTCAACATAACTGCTATTGAGTTAGATTCAGTTGTTGTTGAAACAGCAAAGAAATGGTTCGGCGTCGTTGAAGAAGAAAATCACCGCGTGATTGTCCAAGATGGTCTTGAGTACTTGAAAGAAGCTAGCAAACGTGGTATACTGAAAGGAGGACTTTTTAATGTTTCTATGAAATGAGAGTTTCTGCATTCAGGGAAGAAATCTGATGTCATAGCCTTGGATGCGTGTGATGAAGCCATTAGATCGCCGTGCCCTGCTAAAGTCTTTCGTGATGTGGAAGTGATCGAGAGGCTCAAAAATGCTCTCACCCCTACAGGTCAGTCAACAAGCTCTGCACATTCTCTCTACCGCAAAATAATACCACAAAGTGGTGTTTGTTTAAACCATATATAAAACACGGATGGTCAATACTGTACTTTTCAATAGCCCCGATTGTATTCAACTTCTTGGTTGCTTGCTTCAGCTTTTTATGTTTGAAATATAGACTAGTAAACCAGTAACGTGCTGATTTGCATTTGCGTGCCGGACCGCCGCGCGGTTTCCCACTACAGATTTTTGAATTGGGTTAACGATTCTTCATATATTAGACCAGTGAACCAGTAATCAAAAGTGCTAGATTGCGTCCGCGCGCTTCGGGACTGCACCGCGGTTTCGCGCTATTTGCAGATTTTTGAGTTGCGCTTACGTTCCTTTATATGTATATTAGATTTTGGAAGAAGATAGACCACCTCGTAAGATATATTGTTGGGTAATCGCAATACTTCATGCAAGTCGTCAGAAGTATGATCAGCTCCAAGATTTGTATGAAAAGTTGCGGACTAACTCTAGTGATGTAAATGCTTTCCCAAACCTCCGCATTATAGCATTGCTTTTCGTTCTCTAGCTATCAAAAATTGCCACGCTACTGCCAAGCATTGAGCTTCCATGACTTTGCCTCTAGACGAATCTGGGCGCCGATAATACATCTGCATCTTTTCGTCTTTCATATACCGCATTGCAGTACGCACCATCTGACTCGAAATGTGGCGCTGGAACTTTAAAACTTTATCCTGAAGCTACTGGTTTCTTGCGAAAATCCATTTTTCCTCCTGTGGCGCACTTTTTTCCCAGAAGCAAACATCCGAAAGCACAGTTCACCATGACGGCGCGTGGCAGTCATCCCATCCATTTCCCATAGTGCTTGTTCATGTACCATCGGCTCCCCTATTGCCGCGAGGGCGGTCGCGATGGTCAACCGATGATCAATTTATCATCTATGTTCCAACACAGGGCAACCGCATCGCTGACACGCTCGCTCGGGTCCGCCCTCGCGGCGATCGGGGAGCCGATGGTATACAGTCCGTCTTTTTGGCTGCGTTCATTGATTGCAAACACAAGCGGATAGGTGCGACCTTCCACTTCTTGACTCGGAGCGCCCAAAGGGTGCGTTCATACTGATCCCGAGTTCGGCAATAGTTCCACAGCGCTCGACGTTCGAGCGTTGTGCTGGAACAGTTCCCGAACTTGGGGATCAGTATGAACGCACCCTTTGGGCGCTCCGAGTCAAGAAGTGGAAGGTCGCACCTATCCGCTTGTGTTTGCAATCATTGTTCAGGTACCGCCATAGCCAAATGATGAGTTGAGTACTTTGATAATGATCGTAAACATAACAGCAAAGACTTTGTTAATGTAACAGGAGACTAATTTAGTCAAGATGACCTCTGTCCTAATGACACGTCGTTGGCAACTCGGAGCGGCGGCCGTCTCGCTTGGACTCTGCGCCCATCGAAAGCGTATTTGCTCCGCATGCTCCCCGTCCCAGAGCGGCAGTTTAAAGCTGAGGGACGTGGGAGAGTGCCTAGGGGATACGTCGCAGTCACGGCGCAGGATCCGGCCGTTCGGGCGCACAAGCTGGCGACACGTCCCTAAGGCAGGGGATAAACAGTAAATAGAACCCAGTAAGACTAGTACACTGTGTTTTTAGGTTGTCTTATCGTCAACGTACTTTCTGAAGATGCTGATGAGACGCCTACAAGTGCACAAAAGGTGGTTTTACTAATACCATATATGTGATCACACACTTGAGTGTATCTTAACATTGTCTTTCCTATCTTCGGAGCTATCTCTGCACCTACACTAGGGTTATTGTGGAAAAGATGTTTAGTTTTTTTTGATCATGCGAGAAATTTTTATCCTGCGTACAGTTTTTTTTATCGCGAATCAAGGGAAACAGTTTTTGTTACGCTCCAAATTTTAGCGCGCATTGAAGTCCAAAGCTTTGGGAAAAGGAGCGCGGTGGTAGCCGGGTATTTTTTTGCAAGGTAGAATACATTAGTTATCTAGGAAGTAAGTTACCTAATATATTAGGTCGTAAAGAAACGGACACTTGCGAAATTTTTTTTTTGAAATCGCTATAACTTCAAGCAGATTGATGCTTCTTTGAAGCTACAAAATTCATTGCAAAGACAATTTTGTTCACAACATATATTTATATTGCTGGCTTTTCAGGACCTCACTGTGGTCCACTAGCAAGTTCAGAAGGGAAAAAGGTTGTCGCGAAAAATGGCCTATTTGTGCAGGATTATCTCAAGCACGACGAAAGCTGGAGAGCTCAAATGCTGTAGTTATATAGAAGTCTGCTGGGATGTTATGGAGACTACTTAAGCCCTTGAGCGACCAAATGAAAATATTGTTTCCAGAAAGTTTGAAAAATCAACAGTTTATCGCCCTCAAAAATGCACCATTTTCGAGCAAGTGACTTTGAAGTCTTATCGTTCTGCACAGGGCGGACGAAATCTTTTGAATTTTGCGAACATTGTTGGGGTAATGCTTTATACATCCTTTGGACCCATCATCCAGGCGTGGCGATCCCCTCAGAAGTGACGTCAGCTGCGAAAAGTGTTGCAGTCAGAGGCAAGTTCGACAGCTTGTAATTTTTGAGCGCATTTCCCCAAACTCGAGTGCAGCTGCGGGTCAGAAGTAGCAGGTTTCCACATCACGCATGATTCGGACAAAATTTTAGAAATACACAAGAAAATGGCCAGGAAGAAAAATTGTGGAATTTTTATGATTGGGAAGATCTTTCCTTGATGTGCAGATTAAACACATCTTGGCATCGATAAAAACCAGAAGCCGTATTGAGAACTTTGGGCTTCCCTCTAGCGAAAAATAAAAAAAACTTGGTGTCGAAGTCCGATCGAGCGCCGAAAAAATGCCTTTGAAAACGAAATTTCCAAAAGTGCCCGGGAACATTCTTTACAACCTAATAACTCTTGTATTCTTGGGGCATTCCCCCCCCCCCTTCTCGCAACTCTCTTCCATTTCGGTCCGCCCATATGTGGTACCCCAAAATCCGTACAATAAGTCCGCCTATCAGGTAAGTCCGCCCTATCAGATAAGTCCGCAGAGGAACTAATAGTTAAGTCCGCTTTCTTGACAACGAAAGTCGCCCTCGCGCCGCCAAAAGTCCTGCAGATAAGTCCGCTTTCTCATGCTCAGGATAGGTGAACTTATCTGCTGCGGACTTATCTGATAGTGGATATAGGAGGACTTATCTGGTAGACTTTTGGCGGCGCAAAGGGCGTTTTTTCATCGATTTTTCGCGTCGAAACTGCAGATAAGTCCGGACTTATTGTACGCATTTTAGGGTAATACATTTTCTTCGTAGCTGTAGCCTGTTCAGCTCGAGACCTTACGTGGACTGTTCTTGACGGATTTCCCGAAAACTCACTTTACTTCACTTATTTCTCCACTCCTCTTTTGTTCTCTTTTCCTTTTTTCTTGAGATCTCTTGAATCTTCTTTTCAGACAGCTAAGCTCATGAAAACTTTTTTTCCAGATAGCCAATCTATTCTACTCAGTATTCCCGACATGTATCCGAATGAAAATGGTGAAGGAGGTGGGTGTCTTTTGACCACAGTGTCACGTGCTATTACGTCTCTTTGTGTTCACTTGGACCACTGCTATAGCCGTTGTAACCTGCGCTAGTTAATCCTCCACTTCTCCCTCTCTTCGCGGGATCACTTATTATTAGAGGCACCGTGCCCCCAAATAATTGCTGAAACTTCCATACTTTACAATGACAGGGCCTCTAATTAGGTAACAGCCCAAATCTCGCTGCATAAGGTGAATGCAAACGCGAGAGAAAGTTGCTACAGAAGGTAGTGTGGTCAGTCGCCCCGCCCATCGTGGGATGTGTTTAGATTTGTCGCTCCTCATTGTGTCTATCAGACTTGCGATAATTTGGTGAGGACAAGAACAGAGGTCCGCTTTCTCTCTCGCATCTGGAAATTTGCGCTTTAAACCACTTTTGGTGAAATCCTCCTACTAGCGTTTGAAGTCAGACAAGACAAAGTAGCTTCAGAAATGTTGCCATGTCTGCGAGGCCTAAATTTTTGAATAACTGAGTGTGCTACACCCCATCCACTCATCTTCAGAACTCCCAGTATTCCCCTTATGCATTAGTAATCTGCATAACTCTATCACTCGCCATCGTCAAAATTTGGGAATCTCTCCTTTCCGTAAACGATTACTAAAATTCGATAGGTTTTCGGCGAATCTCATGTGCGCCTTAGGTGATAAATGCACAAGCTGCAGGCTAATTTCTGCTTTCAAGAGCGGATGGAACATCAAATTAGCCCACGCCCCCTTTTTCTGAAGTTTTGGGGTCAGGGGCCCGGAAAAATTTTGGGAAACATCCCAACCTTCATTAGAAAAATTTTTCACGCCCCCCCCCCCCCCCCGAGCCGAAATCCTGGGTACGCCACTACGTTGATCTATGGTTTCGGCGCTCATGGGAATTTTGCCGTGGCGAGTTGAGAGTCATGGACACAAACTCTTGGATGAACTGGTCTATGCAGCACTCCATCACACCTACAATGCCCATACTTTGATATTCGTCATCTTTTTTATTTCAGACAAATGTGATTCTCTTGTGTATGCCGTATGCTATATCCAATGTGCGACAGCAAATCACATTTTACAATAGTAGACTAAAGACAGTCACGTCGTATTTGAAGTTAGACAACATATTTGATAAGATCTCTATTGCTTAGTGCCTCAGTTAATGCCATCATATTGGGTCACGGCGAGAGTTTTCGTTTTTCTATCCTGTTTCTGAAATGTCAATTCTTGCTCATCAGCAGCCGGTGAAGATTCAGTTCGCTTCATCTCTTCAAACCTACATAGATTTAGAACCGATAGAACCCTAAAACCTTTTCTTTTCCGAGACAACAGAGCAAAGCATCCTTTCTGTTAATAATCTTCATTGTTCGTGTTTCTCTACAAATACTTAGCTGTGTTTTCGGCGGAGATTTGTTTCTGATGATTCGGGTAGAAAACGATTTTTTCAAGTCAAAACGTTTCAAGTTTCAACCTTCGAAATGATTGCAGACTCTTGCGCCCAGGCAAATCTGCAAATTTTCACAGCTATCTTTCATCCTGACTCCTGCAGTGGCAGTGGCATTGAAATTAGAAACTTGAGCTGTCAGCTTTTGCAATATTTTTTCCTGAAGAAAAAAAAGCAGCGGAAATTTTGTAAGTTGGGAACAAAGATAAAAACTGCACATTTCGTTTTTCAAGTACATATGGAACTCCTAAATTTCATCTTTGTGGTGAAAGTTTTGGAACTTGTTAGATTAAAAAAACATTCGTTGTGACCTAATGTTATCTTTCTTCTTGTGTTTGTCAAAAGATGTACTGTGATTACAGAAAGTGCCTAGTTTGTTTTTTTTGTGCACTTATGCTTCCGATTACATGTTTAATTCATAGCATTTCCAGTGATGTCTTGCCTGTATTGTATTTTTCTTTGTTTGTCAATGTAATAACGTTCACCTACTTAGACACGCATAATCTCTAGGACCACACGTTTCACTTACGATTCGTAAGTCATCTCAGGGAATATCATCTAAGTTTTCAGTTTCTAGTCGCTGTGTATAGGTAAAGAATTTCTGTTGTGTTTCCTGTCCCTACTAGAGCTATCTACTTTGTTGCAAAATATGTGCTATCGCACAAGTGATGACTGTCGAACACGTTTCTGTAAAACTGGCAATAAAGCATTCCTCTAATGTGTGTTGTCAATGCTTAAAGGCACCGTCCACCCAAATTGGGGTTGGTGAGATTATGATACTTAGCAGCTGGGGGCCCCCAACTGTATGATTGCCCAACTCGCGCTGCCTAAAGTTTCTTTCGAAGCGAGAAAATTGCTTCGGAAATCGCTTCAGGTGACGTTCGCGACGTCGGCTCCTCCCCTTTCGGGTGGGCGTGACGTTCGTTCCGCCCATCCGTGCGTGTCCAACCAGTTACCGTTCTGAAGAAATCGCTCTGCGGGTTCTGAAAACGGGGGTTTTTCGTGGTTTTCGCGGAGTTTCGATTTGATATTCGAAATCAGGGGTATGAGAAGGCCCTGGAACGGCAAAACATGGAGGTCGAGATTCTGGGTGGACGGTGCCTTTAAAGGAAATTTGAAGATGAAAGGTGTCACCTGCAGAAGCACTTTGTGGGAAGATCGGGTGTCTTCACGAACAGCGGTCATTCGAAAGAAAATTCACGTTTTCTGATAGTATCTAAAGTATCTTCTGAGAAAAGCAAGCTCCGGAGATCGAAGCCGGAGAAGAAAATACCGAATTTTCGAATTTTTATGTTCTGTCGTAAAAAAATTGTAGACATGCGATAGAAATCGGAGCAGTCGGTATTATAGCTTCTGTCAACTGCTGTTTTCAACTGCGCAGTTTTTACTAATTGAGATTCTCTCTGAAAAGTAGTGGTTTGTGAAAAAAATGCGACATCAAAAAAATCAAATTCACTGTTTTGAACTGCTCGCTCAAAGTCATAAATTTTAAAGACGCCATCCACCCAGATTCTTTTTCATGTTTCGATCGTTTAGGGGCCTTCTCATGTCCCTGATTCCGAATATGAAGTCGAGAATCCGCGAAAACCCGACAATTCCTTTCCAGAACTTGCAACCGGCTTTCCGGAACGGTGACTGCATGGGAGCGCACGCATGGGCGGGCATTACTGGGGGGACGATGCGAACTTGAGGTTCTCATGCATCTTCGCAATTCCGACGCGATTTTCTCGCTTCCGAATCGACATTTTGCGCCGTGGCTTGGGCATTAGCTTAGTAGGGGGGCCGTATATAAGCTGCCAAAAGTTCAAGACTCCTAACTTAGGGTGGACGGTACCTTTATCAACGGAGAAATCAGCACAGACTTTGCTTGGAGGAGCAGGTATCAAAACCAGAGATATACTGTGAGCTCTGATTCTTACTGCATGTTTCAGATTTTTCACAGCGAAACAGGAAATGTGAAAATTGAGTAGTTCTCTTCTCCGCTTCGATCTCCAGAGCTTGCTTTTGTCGAGAGGTACTGATACTATCAGAAAGAGTTTAAATTCTCTCAAAGGAAAATAATGTGCATATCGGTTTAGAGAGAAGGAAGTTATGGATATTGGTGCAAACGAACTTTCTGTCCAACCTAATATTTTGAAAAGCATCTCTGGAACTGCAAGAACATTTGAGATGAGTTTTTCAACAATTTGCATGAAAAGCGGAACAATCCACGACATTTATTTTCTAACGCTTCCAACAGTGATTCAAAAGTATCTTTATCTTCAAACTGTTTCCGCTATGGGTCATCCAGGAAAGCAGTATCAATGATCATTTAGCTATTTAGATGATGGAGTCTTAGCGTACTTTTTGGCAAATCTATTTATATTCTATAAAACAGTATGACATTTTTACAAAGTTAATATCGATCTTTGGACCGTTGGATCAATAATAGGTAAATATTGTTTAGAAAACAAATTCAATTTACGTTGTTAGGTGGACAACATAACCTGACGGCTCCAAATTTCATTACTATCTTAATGCAAACATTCTTTGCAGTGACTGGATAAGAGATTTACTTGTGTCTGTTTGAATCTACTCTCGCAAAATCTCAGAAAAAGGCTGGAAAATAACACCAGAAAACGACGACGTAGAAATAAGAATGCGGGGCGTTTGATGCAGCACGTAATCTGCAGTACTAGGTGACGAATGACTTGACGATTAATGCGAAGAAGACCATTGATAAAATGCAATTGCTTTATTTATACCAAGGTGATCCATTCTTCCATTTTTCAATGGGTCCTCTCCAGTGGCGGACTGAGGGGAGTAGGGCTGGGTCGCGAAATCTATGATAACTAATCCAATGATTGTAAAAATGTGCAAGTGGCTTGTTCATGCTTATAGATTGGCACATAAGTTTACGAAATTGACATAACCTTCTTTTTGGGTATGGCGCTTTCATTTTTATGATATAATATAGAACTAAATAGTGAGCTACAAATATTCGCAAAACAAAGCAATAATCAAGACGCATAAAATCCAGTCCGAACGCGATTTCGCATCTGATGACCCCAACTTTCAAGGTTAGACCAATAATTAGTTGCGTGGGTGGACCCACAGATAGGATCGGATGGTATCTCAGTAAAATCCTAGTACAGCTACTTCAATTCATCCCTTCCCATCTAAGCAATACGCAGATGTTTCTAGACCGTCTACGTGAAACACGTGTTTGTGCTAATCATGCTATGGAGTCGTTCGACGTTAGCGCGTTGTACACGAATGTATCCAATGACTCTGCATTGCAGGCCGTTTGTGAAAATCTGATAGAACATGAACAAGCCATAAGACTTTTTGGATTATCTATCGCGCAAATAATGGCCCTGTTGAATGCGTGTCTAGAATGCAATATATTTAGGTGGTCAGGAAAATATTTCGCTCAAATTCGAGGATTGGCCATGGGTCAGTGATTGGCTCCAACCCTAGCGGTAATTTTTATGGCCAAAATCGAGACACCCCTGTTGCAATTGCATCCCCTGCCTTATTGCAGGTACATCGATGACTGCTTTATCATTTGCAACACACAGGCGGAAGTTGATGAGTGCTTCGAGTTGATGAACAAGCAGTCAGAACACATAAGACTAACTCGGGAGAAACCCAACAACGCATGGCTGCCTTTTTTGAACGTTCAAGTCAGCATTGCTAGTGGCACCCAGAAAACGAAGTGGTTTTGATAACCTAGTAACAAGAACATCCTTATCCACTCCCGCTCAGCACATCCTTTACAAACTAAAAAGGCTGTGATCAGAAACATGTTCCGCACAGCTGCAAAGGTTTGTAGCGGCGCGAGGAAAAGATGGAGTCACTAGCCGTTGCGCGTAGTATAGCTTCACTGAACGGTTATGACAACATGACGCGGTATAGGAGCCAGCAGGGGAGATTTGTGGAGAGAGCAAGAGCGTCCGCAGCAGAAAAGATACCCTTCTGCATACCCTTCATCTCCGATGAAGTGAGCACCGCCATTCGGCGGTGTGTGAGGAGAGCAGGATTAGACAACTCAGTTTTGGTAGTAGACATACCTCCGAACAATTTGAAACGTATCCTTGTTCGGAATCGTATGTATTATGAAAACTATGTTAAGAAAAATAGTCCTGTTTCGCCTCTTGCCCCTAGACAGGGAAGAATGGAAGGCTAACCACTCCCGAGGCTCATCAGTAGGGGAGGAGTGGTGGTAGTAGTGGTAGTCTTCACTCAAATTGTGCTTATATAGTGGGGGGTATTTATAGGGGGCGTGAGCGGTTAGATCAAAAATCAGGGCAGGACTAGGCTATGATCTAAGAACATGATCTAACCTTTTTCTATGGTTTCTATGATGTGATTGACAAATTTTTTGGTGGTTTTGTATACATTTAAGTAGTTATATTTGTAAGTAATGGCTTTATTATATGTTAAACATTTTAAAATTGCATGTTTTACTAACTCTTTTTTATATTCCAGTTTAATAAAACAATTAATGCATCTTATCAATCTTTTTTCGAAGTCTTTAAATAAACTACATGTTCTAGATATTCGAAGTACCTCTGTATATATCATAGCTATTTTCAAGTTATTACTTATGTATGAGCTTCCATGACAAAATCTGATAACATCGAAGTTGAATTCATCGGTTTTGTTAAATTGTTTACAAATTATAACATCGTCTATAATTTGTATAGTTAGATCAAGGAAGTTGCATTCGTTAGATGTTCTGTGAGTAACTTCCATTTTGAGAATATTATTATAAACAGCATTTAGAATATCAAGAATTTTTGCATTGTCACTGTTGTGGATAATCAAAATGTCATCCATATACCTATAGGCTTGAAATGTAAATTTGGGATAATTGACTGTACAGGCGTACTTATATTCTAGGTAGGATAGAGTCAGATCAGCTATAATAGGACTAGCGTTCCCACCTTGTGGTACTCCTGTTTTTTGACAAAAAAGTGACTGTCCAACTTTACAGTAGCTGTTGTTTAGAACGAAATCTAAAAGGAAAAGTATATCTTGTATTTTATAGCACCTGGATTTTAGATCTTCTTTTTCTGTAGATGAATATGTAATCTTATTATATTTATTGATGGCTATGTATTTTTTATCTGCATTTTTAAAGCACAGTTTCATAATCTCCTTGAGATTATCAAAAATTACTGTATGTGGTATATTAGTGAACATGTTAGTGAAGTCAGCAGAAAAGAGTTTTACGTTTTTTTGGGTATAGTTGGTTAAGTCTCCTGAAATATTTATATCATCAATTGACCAATATGTCTGTAAACATTTTTTGTTGTTTCTTACAGCTAGTGCATAATTTTTAAAATGTTTTTTGAAAAAGGAAAGAATGTTTAGCAATTCCATGGCCATCGGTTTAGTGCTGCTATTGTAAGCTCCAGTAATGAATCTGAATTTAATTGGATTTTTATGTAATTTGGGAAGGCAATATATGATCGGTATTTTACAACAAGATTCATCATAAATTTTGATATTTTTTGAAAATTTCAAATGTTTGTCTATAATGAGTTGTGGGGTGCTATTATAAACCTTGTTATATATATTGTTGTTAGTGATGTTGTTGGTCAAATCCATTTCTTTTAGTATAACTGACATATAAAGTCTTTTGCATATGATACCGTAGTTGGAACTGGCTTTATCTATAGGACATAGAACGAAATATGTTTGAATATAATCAAGCTCTTTATTATCAATATTGTATGCACAAAGTTCTTTCGTATACAATAATTTTGGTAAAATTTTTTGAAATGAGGAATATACGATATGTCTAATCTGATTAGCGCTTTGATAGTTGACCCGATACAATTTTTTAATCTTTTCCAAAAAATTTTCAATTATTTCGGTCCATAGTTGTTTGATGTGTCCAGGTTTGAGATTACTTGGAAGTCTGAATTTCGTTCCTTTATTTAGTATGTTGTATATTTGCAAATTTTCAAATATTTTGGTATTTCCTGTTACAACATGGTTATATGTTGCGCAAATGAAATCGGGATACTGGTTACAGATACAAGGAATAGAACTTATGTCTTGCGTATAAGTGTCTCTTAAAAATTTGTTGTAGTTAAAAACTTTTTTGGAAACAGGGCTATCATAGGTATAAATGATTCTAACCTTTCTATATTCTTGTTTGCTATTGTTTATTATATTTACTATATTATGGTTATTGAAAATCTTATTTAAATTGATGTTATTGAGAATAGAATTGTGGAAAGGAATTTTGATGTTTACTACTTTTTTATTTTCGTGCTGGTTTTTATTTTCTTTTTTTGGAAAATGATAATAGCATAGTGTACTATACAAAATCAATTTTTCATTATTTGTAATATGAATATGGTCGGGTGCGTTTGTAATCAGATATATCAAGCTACTGACGTAAGTATTGGGTTTACATTTTAGAAATCTAAAAATTTCATAAGGTTTCGTTGTAGTCTCAAATAGATTTTCAATATCTTTCGCTATTGTGTTACTATCTGCTTTGTTTTTCTTCTTATGCCTATGTTTTCCTCTGTTGTTTCTTTCTTTGATTATTTTTAGACTGAAAAATGGGTGGGATTTTCCATGTGTGAGTGGATTTTTTATGAGGCTTAGGTTTCCGTAGCCTTTGATATTATCATTGAATCCGAACGGGTATGGTGTCATTAACAATTTTATCCAGAAAAGCTCTTTGTTTCTGAGTATCTCTTTGTCACTGTTATCGGGTAAATTATCCAAAATGGAAACTTTTAGATTCTCTAATTTACAAACGTTGTTGGAATAGTGCTTATACAGAATTTTTCTTTCGTCTTTTTTGATAATACCTCTAATGTGCTCTTGAATTCTTTCTCTGAGTTTTCTGCTAGTTAATCCTACGTACTGAAGACCACAATCTCCACATGTTAGGCAATAAACTACGTTTTTAGATAAGCAATTACTATGGGTGTGTTTGTAAGTGTTTAGTTTAAAGTTTGTAATATATGAGTATATGTAATTATTATGATCCATAATTTTGCAAGTACTGCATAGCGGTTTACAACTTTTGCCCTTATTACAATTTCCAAAGTTCAGTAGGTTGTATGTGCCGGATACCTTACGCTTGTAGAAAGTTATACCCTGAAAGTAAAGGTTGGAAGAACTTTGTGCTTTTGTTTTGTTTTTGAGCCTAGATCTAAGATATAGAAGGGCCCCATCCTATACCAGAGGGAAGGTTACCTAAAGGTTTCGGAAGGACTGCTTCCTGGGGGCGGCACTCCCAGAGGAAATAACACTACCGGAGGCGTAGTACTTACCCTCCCATGCCAGTAGCTACTATTATTGACCCCATCGGTAGTGTTATGCAAAAAACAACACAAACAAAGTAAAGAGAAAAAAATGTAAAAAATGGGGAGAAGGG